ATGGAGGGAGTGATTGAGAAGGTGCGGGCGAATCCGCGGATAACTGTGTATGCGGCTGTGAGGGAGAGCAGTGAGGCGGCAGCAAGCGTGGTAGCGGTGCAGGAAGCAGTACAGTGAGTGTGAGTGTGAGTGTGAGTATGATATGAGTATGAAGCACATGGTAGGCAAATAAATACATGCATGAGAGTTTTATTCAAAAACATAGAACGGTTGATGCAATAATCGGTTGTGAGTTAGTTGAACGGATACAAATATTTTAGCAAAAATTTACCCCAGTATGATATACAGAAACCAAGATGGAGATAGAAGAGGATATAGAGGAGGATCGAGAACGGAAGGAGGGTCGAGGTATGGCAGTAAGCCAAGACGCGAGCCGTACAGATGCGAGCCACTTCCTGAACTACCACCTGTTGAGTTTCAAAAGGATCTGTATGAAGGAGCAAAGGATAAAATGAACGCGAATGAAATAGCAGCGTTTAGGAAGAATAACGAGATGATGGTGAAAGGAAGAGACATTCCTGAGCCGATTGAGGGATTTGGAGATGCAGGGTTTAGTGAGCGGGTGGTGAATGAGTTTAAGAAGAAGGGGTTTAGCGAGCCGACGCCGATACAGGCACAAGGATGGCCGATGGCGCTTAGTGGGCGAGACATGGTTGGGATAGCACAAACAGGGTCTGGAAAGACACTGAGCTTTATACTGCCTGCGCTTGTGCATGCGAAAGCACAGGTGCCGCTGAGAAGAGGAGACGGGCCGATAGTGCTGGTTCTTGCGCCGACACGAGAGCTGGTGATGCAGATCAAGAAGGTGGCGGATGAGTATTGTGGGATGTTTAATCTGAGGAGTGCAGCGGTGTATGGAGGAGCGTCTGCACAGCCACAGATACGATCGTTGCATGAGGGAGTGGAGGTGCTTGTGGCCACGCCTGGACGATTGATTGATCTGCACGACCAAGGGCATGCGCCACTGAGCCGAGTAACGTTTTTAGTGTTAGATGAGGCAGATAGGATGTTGGACATGGGGTTTGAGCCACAGCTGCGAAGGATTATACCGAAGACACACGATGACAAGCAGACGCTGATGTGGAGTGCAACTTGGCCGCGGGAGGTAAGGGAGCTTGCGGAGAGTTACATGCGAGAGTATATACAGGTGACGATTGGGAATGAGGAGCTGAAGACGAACAGCAAGATCAAGCAGATAGTTGAAGTGTGTGGAGAAAGGGAGAAGGAAGAGAAGCTGTTGGAGGTGCTTGGGAATCACAAGGGGGAGAAGATAATTGTGTTCTGCAACATGAAGAGGACATGCGATGACTTGGAGTATGTGTTGTGCAGGGCAGGGCATGGGGCATCTGCAATACATGGGGACAAATCGCAGAACATTAGGGACAAGGTGCTTGATGATTTTAGGATAGGACGGCGGAATATACTGATTGCCACGGAGGTTGCAGGAAGAGGACTGGATGTGAATGATGTGAAGCTTGTGGTGAATTTTGACTTTCCTGGATCATGTGAGGATTATGTGCACAGGATAGGAAGGACAGCACGAGGAAGCTGCAAGGAGGGAGTGTCACATACGTTTTTTACGACTGCAGACAGAGGGAATGCCCGTGAGCTGATAAGGCTGCTTAGGGAAGCGAAGCAAGAGATTCCGTCTGAGCTTGAGGGGATGGTTAGGGCGCCTTCTAGTGATAGATATGGGTCCAGGAACAACAGATATGGATATGATTACAATCGAGAAAGGACGAGTAGATATCCTGCTAGGAGATGAAGGCTTGATGATATCATTGAGTAATGCAAAGCAAGATTTATATATAGGATTCCCAAGATAAAAGGTAAAGAGGGATTCGTTGAATAAAGTTTCGTTTTAGGATTTATTTTTAGGGATGGGAGGAAAAGCCTTAACCATGTATGGGCCTTCTAGTGTGTATCCAAACTTTGCATAATATTTTCTTGTTCCCACGCCTGATATTACTGCTATTTTTGTGGATTTGTGCTCGTTTCTTGCGATTTTCTCTGCTTCCTCAATAAGTAAGGAGCCATATCCTTGATGCTGGAACTTATCTGCATCTGTCTTACTGACAGCAACTGCACTTCCATAAACATGAAGCTCTCTTATCATTGATGCATTTGTGTTTTCTACGAATTCATGGCATGTATTGTCTTCAATACAGTGATTCGGCCCTCCCTTAAGCTCAGGCCTGAATGTCTTGGCACTACACTTGCGCAATCTTAACAGGCCTATCAGGATGTCTTGCTTTACATCCTCATAGCTTAGAAAGGTCTCCCAGCCATCATTTGCAAAGTAATCTCTTCTGACAAGCTCAACCTCATCAGGAAGTATGTTTTCGTGAATGCTCTTGATCCCAACCTCCCTAGTTCGCACATCCCTACACTTTGTTTTGTGGTCTTTCATTCTTGCCAATGCAAGCTCCCTGATGTTTCCGTGCTCCACGCCAGAGCTCACAAGAGTCATTGGAATGTCCCTTTGGATTCTGTATATCCTCATCCATGGAGGCACAAAAGACATAATCTTTGCCAGAAAGTCGATCAGTTCGTCTGGAGAATAGTTTCTGTATTTGTTGTTTTTCCATAGCTCAAACAGCCCTGTTCCTTTGATAACAAGCGTGGGATATATCTTCAGCCCATCGCTCCGGAATCTTGGATTGTCAAAGTACTCCCTGAACTGGGCAAGGTCTCTCTTGACAGGGACATTCGGAAGATTCGGCATCATGTGTGCAACAATCTTGAATCCAGCATCCTTCGTCAGCGAGAACGACTCGCAGACACTCTTGACGGTGTGTCCACGATTTGTGTCTCTGGAAACATCCTCGTATACGCTTTGGACTCCGATCTCTACTCTTGTGCATCCGTACTCCAGCATCTTGCTCAGGTGCGATTCTGCACAGAAGTCTGGCCTGGTTTCTATTGTGATCCCCACACACTTCAGGCGTGCCTCTGCACCAATCTTTACTGCCTCCTCAACAGTGGATGACTTGTGCCCGCTCAAAGCATCGTGGAGTTTCGAGATGAAGTTGCCTCTGTATGACTCTGACAGCGACATAAACGTGCCGCCCATGATGATGTACTCGACCTTGTCGATGCTGTGCCCAAGCGCTTTCAGCTGCTTGAGTCGTTCTCTTGCCTGTTCAAACGGATCGTACCTGCTTCGTATTGCCCTCATACTTGTTGGCTCGTACCCAGTGTATGACTGCGAGGAGTACTCAAACTCTGAGTCTGGGCCCCCAGGGCAGTAGATGCATATGTTTCCGGTCAATGCAATGTGAGGGCATCTGTGTGGCTTGCACATCACAGCAACAACAGCAACACCTGATGCGGTCCTAACAGGCTTTACCTTCAGCTTGCTGATCAAATCGCTACACTCAGGCGGAATGAACGAGATGATGTCGACAAGACGCGGGATGCATCTGAGCTTGTACTTCTTGCACACCTGTGTTCGTATTTTTGCGGTATTTATTTCTTTTTCTTCCTTGTGCAGCCTGATTATTTCTCTGCAGATCTCGCTGCATGCCTTTACGAAGTCGGACATGTGGGTATCGAGTAGAGTGAATAATTCGTATGTACCGTGTGCGATTATGCATATGGCCATTCATGCATGGCTGAGATGTATTGAGTGCATGAATTAAACTGGCCTTGCTTTGAATGCGGCTCTGTTTGGCTAAGAAAGTAGCGAGCGTGTGTACTGAGTGGCAGTATCAATACAAGCGGACGGTGAATGCATCAACACAAGATCGAGTGTTTTCATATTTTGCATTACTTACAAGCCCTGAAGATGCAAACCTCGCTGTACTTGAATGCATCAACACAGATGAGGAGGGATGAGATAATGCAGAAGCTGTCTTCGAGCAGTGAGGATGAGAAGATTGAGGCGATGCGGCAAATAGTGATGCATATGAGCCAGGGGAGTGAGTTTTCATCGATTACGCTGAAGATCACAAAGGAGATAATGGTAGTGAAGAACAATGAGCTGAAGAGGTTATTTTATTATTTCATGGAGATGCTGCCGAAGTCCAGGGACTCTGAGGTGTTTGGCGAGGTGCTTCTGCTGTCCAATCAGGTGCGAAAGGATCTTGAGCATCCGAACGAGTATGTTAGAGGGTTTGTGATGAGGTTTGTTAGCACCTTGTGCGATCAGGAGCTGATAGGCAACTTCTACAAGCTTGTAAAGGATAACTTCAGCCATCCAAATGCATATGTGAGAAGAAATGCATACTTTTGCCTGGGGGAGATTTTCAGGAAGATTAAGATATACGATGAAGTTCCTGATTTGCTGTATCATGCACTGCTACGGGACATTGATCCGAACTGCTTGAAGCAGGCGTTTGTTTCGCTGCAACTTGCTGACGAGGCACTCACATGTAAGTATGTTTCTGAGGTGCCTATCAGCATACCAAATGAGCTTTCGATGGCAATAGTTGATTGGGCAAGAGACATGAAGGTTCTTGAGAAGTTTCTTGCGAGTGAGGATGCACAAACAGCAATGGAGGCAGGAATCGTTATCCATAGGGTGAGCATGGACGAGGGGCTGTTGAAGAGGAGTCTGGATGTGATACTCAGGGGAGTTGAGAAGCTTGCCAGGTACAAGGAGTATGTGATTGATGAGCTGACAAGGCATTCGGGATATGGGTTTTGTGGGTGTGCGATGAGGTTTCTTGGGCTGGTGGATGTGTATGATCTTGGCTTTTCGTCGAAGTGCATCGACTTTGTGTTTAAGATATCTGAGACGCATGAGTTTCTTGAGATATGTGATTTTTTGAGTATGAAGTTCAAAGAGACAAGCGATGTGTCTGTGCAAAACCAAGCATTCAAGGTGATGCTTTTTGAGAAGATGTCGTGCTTTGCAGAGCAGTACTCGTCGTATAATGAGGAGATGGTTGAGGAGGCTCTGAGAAGTGTTGGCTCTGAGAATCCCGAGATGAGCTATGCCGCGCTTGTGTTTCTTGGATCGTGCTTTGGGGTGATGAAGAACGAAACGAAGGGGGAGGAGAGAGCAAGGTATGAAAGGCATGTTGAGGCGCTTGTTGAAAAGATGGAGGAGGCAAAATATGGAAAGATACTGAGGCATTGCATGGAAATAGTGAGGCGGTATGCAAGCAAGATGGTTTTTGAGAAGGTTGTTGATGGGCTAAGCGAGTCTTTTGAGAAGGCAGACAAGCCGTTGTACTTGAGAAGCACACAAGCGTTTCTTGGATGCTATTTGTGTATTGAGCTTTGCGAGATGTGTAAGCAGCTTGAAGGGCATATGAAGGAGAGGGTGATTGCGGTGATGCTGAAGTTTATTTCGTATGGCAACGAAAGCGGAACGATGGATGCTAGCTCGCATTCGACAATAATTGCATGTATTCGATCGCTGGTGTCAGGCAGTGGAAGGATGGAAGTGATTTCTGATAGCTACAGACGATGCAGGGAAGGAGTGCTTGATGCGATTGTACTTCCTGGATGTAATGACAAGGAAGAGAATGGATTGAGGAGGCTGAGCGAGTTTATTGAGGAAGGAGAAGCATGGAATGGAGGTGTTGAAAATGTTGTTCAGTTGAGTGGGTTGTCTGATCCAGTGTATGCAGAGGGCTTGGTTGGATACACAAGGTATGAGGTGGTGGTTGAGATGATGCTGATTAATCAGACGTCGTCGTATTTGCAGAATATCCTGGTTGACTTTGTAAGCAGCAGGAACCTTGTGGCGTCGTTTGTGTCGAGTCCGTTTTCGTTGTCGAGTAGGTCTGTTGCAGTGAAGAGATATGTGTTCAAGATACAAGATGCATCGAGTGGGTTTGTGAGTGGGTCGATGACGTTCAGGTATCCTGACGAGAGCGGGGAGTATGCAAATACGACATACATGATAAATTTCTGTGAGATCAGGACGTCTGTTGCGGAGTTTCTTGAGCCTTGTGAGATTGCACCGCATGAGTTCAGGGAGATGTGGAAGGATCTTGAGTGGGAGAACACATATACGCTGAAGCTCAGTACGAAGAAGCCTCTGGAGGAGATATTTGAAGGGGTAAGCAGCGGAGTACGGGGGCGAGTGCTTGATGTAGAGTATAACGATGACTATGCGGTGGGGAACATTGTGTGCTTGACGCAGCAGAGTGTGTATGTGCTTGTGAATGTGTGTCTTCGCCGTGAGGAGAGTGTGTATTTTGAGTGCAGGATCCGAAGCAAGAAGGAGGGGATAGTGAAGTCGGTAAGCATGGTGGTTGGGGATGTACTGAAGTCGTTTAGGAATAAATAGTGTTCTAAAGAATGGAGGAGAGATATGTTGAAAATTTTTGAGCCCTGAAAATGTCGTGTGAATTGAAGGTTGTTGCAAGTCTGAAAGGGCATAAGGACGAGGTGAGAGGGCTGAAAGCGGTGCGAGTGGAAGGAAAGGAGCTGCTGTATTCGGGGTCGAAGGACAAGAAGGTGTTTGGCTGGGACCTGCATAGCAAGATTGAGTCTGATTATGGAAGGCTCGAGAAGGTGTATGAGAATGGGCACACTCAGAGGATCAATGGGATTGATGTGTCTAAGAATGGGGCGATGATGGTGAGTGTGGGGTCTGACATGATAGGAAGGATATGGGATACGAACAGCAAGATGTCGATTAAGCTGGAAGGGCACAGCAGGGATGTGTTTTGTGTGAGCATAAACTCGAACGACACGAAGATAGCGACGGGGTCGGTGGATTCAACGATGAATATTTACAACACACGCGGGGAGCTCATGATGAGGATTGGGAGTGAGATGGCACGGATGCATCGTGGATGGATTAACTGTGTGGCGTTCCATCCTCTTGACGAGAGTGTGCTTGCAAGCGGATCGGCAGATGGGACGGTGAAGATCTGGAACCTAGAGATGCAGGAGCATACACACACGTATCTTGGGGGGGTGTATGTTGATTATGAGAAAGCAGAGGAAGCAAAGATGCAGGTGCAGGACTATGACGAGTCGAAGAGCGTGACGGCGATGGCATACTCTTTGGACGGGTCGTTGCTGGCGTATGGAGACAAGAGCGGAAAGGCGTATCTTGTGAAGCCAAACACGCAAGAGCAGATGTGCAGCATTGATGTGACTGTTCCGATACGATCAATTGCGGTTGGAGAGACGGATGCGGTGATTGGCCTTGGAACGGATGAGTCTGTGATTATTTGGGACACGATCAGCTCGAAGGTGGTGGCAAGTTATGATCTGCGTGAAGTGGGGAATGGAGTGAAGTGTCTGTCTCTGGTGTTTTCTGGAAGGACGCTCTACTGCGGGCTGTCCAATGGGATGATTGTTGAGCTGGAATTTAGAAAGTTGGATTAAATTTGGTCTCTGAGATATTTTGTGTAGTGCGAGTGTGTTGATGAAAGAAGGGGTTGAGCTGTATGAGGAGCAGCAACGGTTTGTGGAGGATGCCAGGAATGTTATTGATGATGGAGGGGTGGGGGTGTTTTCAAGCCCTACAGGCACGGGAAAGACACGGTCGCTGCTTGTAGCGGTGTCGGAGTATGTGGAGGGCGTGGTGAAGCAAGTGACGAGTACAGAAGATGTGCATATGGATGCAAAGAATAGGATGCTGGAGAGGGCATTGCTGCATGAGCCATCAGGTGCAAAAGTGCTGTACTGTACGCGAACGCACAGCCAACTGATGCAGGCAATCAAAGAAGCCAAGGCGATTGGCTTGGAGTGCAAATCTGTTGTTCTGGGGTCAAGAAGAGTGTATTGTGTGAATCCGAGTGTTAATGAGCTGAGCTCTGTCGAGATAATGAATGAAAAGTGCAAAGAGTTGATTAGTACGAGTGGATGTGTGTTTTATGATGGACGTGAGGATCTCGACGGATGCGGAGCGATTGATGTTGAGGAACTGGCCAGAATGGGAAGGAGGCAGAGGTTCTGTCCGTACTATGCATCTAGAAGATACAGCATGCAGAGCGAGATTGTTTTTCTGCCGTATCAGCTGTTATTTACAAGAGAGGGCAGAAGGAGCATGGATATTGATGTTAAGGATAAAGTTGTGATTGTTGACGAGGCGCATAATATTTGTGACGCGATTGCTGAGATGAACAGTGCATGTGTGCATTTTGATGCTGTTTTAGAATGTATTGCTGTGCTTGGAGTGTACAGGCAAAGGTGGCAGAGCACGAGCCGACACGGTGGAGTGGCCGACAAGGTGCATGGTATTCTTGTGAAGATTGCAGAGTTCCGATCGAGATACAGGAAGTTGGATGCAGAAGAAGATGTTGCATTTGGAGTATCTGAGTTTCTAATCATGGCAGGGATTGAAGAAGTCAACATGATTGAGGTTGAGGAAGACCTTGTGGGTACTGGAGTGATAAAACGCATCGAGACGATTAAGAAAGAGGCAGGCGCATTTGCAATAGAAATATCGAAGTTTCTCAGGCTGCTTACGATGAGCGATGCAAACGGAAGGATATTCTACAGCACAAGGCGAATCAGGTTTGCACCGATTGATCCATCGATGTACTTTGAGGGAGTGACCGGATGCAAGGCGTTGCTGTTTGCAGGAGGAACAATGGAGCCTATTGAGCAGCTGCAAAGGATATTTGGCAGTGTGAATACAGGAGGCGGCATGCAACAGCTGAGCAAGCCGTCATGTGTGCTTACTGCTGGAATGAAGTACTTCTCGTACAAAAGCATTTGCGAAGATTTTCTACCGCTTGTAGTGTGCACAGGCCCGTCAGGAAAGAGTATGGTTGTTAACTACGAAACAAGAGAAAGCCATGAGTGTGTAAAAGATGTTGTGCACTCCATATCGAACCTATCGAATGCAATACGGGAAGGCGGGATGGTGTGTTTTTTGCCATCTAAAGCATATCTCGAGATCCTTAAGCAAAGGATTGGCAAGACAATCGGTGCAAAACGAGTGTTCTATGAGTATGACGAGTGTGTATTTGAGTCGTATACGCATGAAGCAAGGAAATGCTCGTGCATATTGCTGGCTGTTGTTGGAGGAGGGCTGAGCGAAGGCATTAACTTCAATGACGAGCTGTGCAGGATGGTGGTTGTGATTGGTGTTCCTTATCCTGCCATGAATGCAGAAATGCAGGAGAGGGCTGTGTTCTATGGAGCAAGGCACACTGCACATGTTGCAATGAAAGCAGTGAACCAGGCACTTGGAAGAGCATTGAGGCACAGGAACGACTATGCAGTGCTTGTGCTGCTAGACAAAAGATACATTGAGCTGTCTTCAATGATCAGCCCGTGGATAAAGCGGAGGATTGTCAAGTGTGACTTCAGACATGCACTTATAAATGCATGCCAATTTCTTCGTAGAAAAAGATAAATGTTACTTTTTATTCACTAAGCGTTCTCTATCTAAAGAAGCCGTTTAATTTCTTGATGTGCCGCACGGTGATTCTTGGCCCAATCTCTGTGAATCCAACCTTAATATCATCCTCATCCTTTGTAAGGATTGCATAGTGTCTGATGTGTATCAGGTCGTCATCAAAGTGGAAGTGGATGTTTCTTCGGGAGGTGCTTGGCTGGGATGACAATGATGAAAACAGACTCTTGAGCGGGCTGCTTCCTGAAAATGTTATAAGAGGATCGTCCCTGTAGTGCTCATGGTCGACTCTGACATACTTTGGATTGTACTCAACAACATTGAATATGTATGTTGGCCCGTTTGGTCTAATGCCCACCTTGATGTCTCTGGCATCCACAAGAATGAAGTGCGACAACTCAAATGCATCTGCAATATCGATGTATGATTTGACAGTAGTATTTTTGTCTTTAAGCTTTGCGGTGACATTTGGTTCAAGCATCCTACGCAAGTGCTCACAGATCTGCTTGGTGCGCTTCGTGGGCTTCTTTGCGGTTATCACGAGCTTATTTGAGAAACTCATCTATGCAAAGGGCTCGGCACATATTTGCGTTAAACTGCTAGATGCTTGGGATGAGTGTTATGTCGACCATGTTAAAATGCTGCTGCACTTTGTGTGGTTTTGCATTCTTGGCACTCTGAATTGCAAGGTATGCTCCTGTGTTGAGGAATATCAATGGTTTGATTGAGAAGTGGCACAGCAGCACAAAAAGCATTGCTTTTGCGAAGCTGATTGAATGTGTTTGTGTTAAGTATCTTGAGAAAAGCATCTCTATTGTTTTGCAGATCTCCAGAATGAGTTTGATGAGCAAGTATGCAAGTATCCCTCCGATTCGGATCCTGGCCAGTAATATGAGCTGTTCAACCTCAGGCTTTGAGAGCAGCTGTCTTTGCAAAAGTGCAGTGCATATCTTTGAGATTTTTTTCAGCAGAGCAAAGTAGAGTATAATGAGCAGAAGCGTTTCTGAGTTATTTATGACATCAACGATGTAGTTTCCCAGTAGAGTCTTGCCGGTAACGATAAACACGATTGGATACAGCAGTATGCCGCCGTATGCCCTTGATCCAAGAACTGCTTCGAATACATACTCATCAAAGCCAAGATCCTTGAACCTCTTGGATGAAATTGCAGGCAGGAACAGCATGATTGTATGGAAAAGCAGGCTTTTTTCAATACCTTCGATTGTGATTTCAAACAACTTGAGTGTGGCACCTCTTATGTGGATGGCAAGCTCATTGATTGCTGGATTAGCAGTCGATCTGGCTTCATATATGTGTATCAGGTAGTATATGGCCATCAGTATGAGTAGGATGAGCATTAGGAAGAGCTCCTTCCGTTTGATGGCTAGAAGCCCCTGGTTGCATTCGTTTTCATCGCGTTGCTTCCTGCTTTGTATTCCCTCGGCGCTCAATGAGAAGATCTCCCACATAATTGCAATCAGGAGAACGGCAGACATCAGTGCCTGAGTGTTTTCATCCATTGTTGTTTGTTTGGCAGCCACAGAGCTGTAAATAGCGTAAACAGTAGAATGCAGCTTTGCAATGCAGCATTGGCATTTGAAATTAAACATTTGTGCATCTCCCTCAAATGATTGTTCAGGTATTGTGCATATATGCAGCATATATGCTGTCGAACGTTATACCGGCTGCTTACCAGTACATTTATTCAAGATGCAGAAATCACCAGGTGTGGGATGACATCAAAGGGAGGCATGTTCTGATAAACGGCGCAACAGGAAGCATAGGAGCCGCGCTTGCATTGGAGTTTGCGAACCGAGGAATGAAAATCGTGCTTGTTGGAAAAAACGAATCTAAGCTGGTAAAGATCCATTTGAAGATAAGCCAGATTACAGAATGCCACATGTATATCATTGATTACACCAAGAAGAACAATTTTGACTTCATAGACAAATACGACATCAGAGTTCTAGTGAACTGTGTTGGCACAGCAAACACCAGCCCTGGATACTTTGTGGAACATCCTTTTGAAGAGATCATAAAGACCAACCTGGAAGGGCCTGTGGTGTTGATGAAGCGCATTCTGGCCAACATGATGGAGAATGGGTGTGGATATGTCCTAAGCATAGGGCCATTGATGGAGAATGTGCCTAGTCCATTGTATTCATCTTATGGATGCTCAAAGGCTGGCCTAGTGTCGCTCTCTAATTCGCTTTATTATGAGTTGGAAGAATGTGGAATCAATGTAGAGTATGCATACTTTGGATACATGGGCCAGAGCAAAGATGGACAGGACAGCTCTTCTGTATTCAGGCCATCACCAAGAGTGCTTGCATGCTCGATTCTCAGCACATTTGGATCTGGAAAGGCGTGCATTCCTTACCTCCCGCACTTTCTTGTGTATCTTGTAATCATCTGCATTCCATCTCCGCTCCTCAACAGGCTCATATTCTTCAGCAACAGGCAGAAGATGATTGATGAAAGGAAGCGAATGGCAAGCTGTTATAAAGATAAAGATCGCTAGGAAACAGCCAGCACACCAGTAAACATATCACAGCAAAGCTTTATTATCAGTTAATCGACGATGCCTGGGACGAAATCTTCGGCCACATATCTGCAACTTCTCTTGTGACAGGCCCTGCTATCTGTGCGCCCTTGAGCTCTCCCTTGTTGTTGATCAGAACCGCAGCATTGTCTTCGAATCCAATGTGAGATCCATCTGGGCGTCTCCATGTCTTTTTCTGCCGGATCAGGATTGCATAGTGCACTTTCTTCCGTAGCTCGGGCTTTCCCTTCTTGACTGATACAACACATATATCTCCAGGCGCTGCTGAAGGAAGCCTATTGAGTCTCCCCTTGTATCCACGAACACCTATGCATCTGAGCTTCTTTGCGCCGCTGTTGTCTGCACAGTTCATCACAGTCTCGACCTGAACACCCTTCGACATCTTGTATCTCGGCCTCAGTGCAATTTTCTTCTCCGCAACCTCCACTTTTTTATCCGCTGCCATTTCAAGGGTCTTCCTGATAATTTTTCTAAATTCTGCCGATCTGGCCAGCGGTGTGCAGCGGAATGCAACGCATTTACATCATGTCTTTGGTAGATGCTCTTGGCTTTACGATTCTTGAGTTCTTGGTGCTTTGTGCATTTAGTGAGATCCGTACGCTTCGCCTTATCTCATCCACTTTGTCTCGTCCAACACATTCAATCAGGGCATTGTCAATTGCAAGCAGCCTCAGCCTGATCCTTGCTTTCAGCTCAAATTTGTCTGTCATGCTTGAGAAGGCGCATGTGGCTGTAAGATTAAATCACTGTAATGGATGGCCATGCTGTGGCTAGCAGGCGGTTTCCTGTTGCATTTGTAGAATGCAAGCAGCCCTGCCTGTTATGAAGCCCTTCATGCTGGGGATATTGAAGTGCAAAAGATGCACATTCATGCAGAAGCTCGAGCTGATCTGCAACGAGGCAGTCAGTGTCGATCTCGGTGGAAATGTGCCGCAGATATTCAACAAGCACGCATTTCTGGAAGATTCAGGCGACAGGTTGAAAATGCTTGCACGCTGCTTGAGCATGCATCACTCAGTGGCGCTTACTGAGCAAGACATTCAGTCTTTTGTGGAAGATCCGTCTGATGATGCAAAGGTAAAAGCATTTCTGTTTGGAATAGACATCGTTAGTGGTGTGCTAAGGTGCGAATCGTGTGGGTTACAGTATCCAATCAACAATTCGATTGTGGATACGGTGGATGCTGTTGAGTCTAATTAAATAATTATGGATGTTTTTGATGCATAGATGATGGTTTGCAGCTGATATGTTTGCATATGTGTGCTGCACTTGTTGGAATGCATGCTTCATTGGTTGCAGTGGAAGCATATAAACTCGTTTAGTGTAACGAAAGTTACTTTGGTTATATCGCCTGTAGTTGCATGCCCTGGAATGCCGAACACAAACATATTTACAGCGCTTTGCAGATATGCAGGGCTTGGTGGAGAGGAGTGTTCAGATGTAAGAACGGAAGAGATCGAAATGGCTGTTGCAGAGATACTAAAGAGAGCAAGGATCACTGATCTTGAGGAGTATGTCAGAAGCTACAAGTACATGAGAAACGGCCTGAATGCATGGCAGGAGAGATTGCTGTTCAGAAGCAGAAGATGCTTGTTATCTGAGAGTGTGTTCAGGTGCAGTATGGGGCTGCTTGGGCATTTTGGCCAAGTTGATAGGGTCTGTTTTGACCAAGGAAATAGGTTTTTTATGTCTGGAGGAGCTGATGGCATGGTGAAGCTGTGGGATGCGTTCAGCGGGCTTCTAGTGCACAGCTTCATAGGGCACCAAAGTCTTGTGAATGATATTTGTGTCAGTATGGATGGCAGATTGTTGGTTTCATGCGACTCGCTTGGATTGCTGAATGTGTGGAGCCTGGAAGGATTCAAGCTGCTTTTTGAGCTGCGCCATGAGAGTGAGATCATATTTGCAGAGTTTTTTGATTCAGGATCGACAAGAGTGTGCAGAGATGGGTGTGCAGAGAACGAGAGGCCTGCATATGGACTGGTTGTTGTTCTTGCAACAGGGAGCGTTAAGATATACAAGATTGATGAGGTGGGGGTTGTAGATGAGCATGAGAACATGTGCCTGGTTGGCGAGGTAATAAAGGGGATTTGCTTTACTGAAGGGGGGCGGTTTCTTCTGTGCAATGGCTGGTGGCCTTTTCTTGTTGTGTTTGACATGCAGTTTCCTGAGGGATGTGTGATTCTTGAGACGAGTGGAATGCCTGTAAATACAATATGTGGGGCAAAGAATGGATTGAAGATTGCGGCAGCATGCGAGAGCCAGGTGTTCCAGTGGACATTTTTTTGTGAAGGGATGCCTGGGATGGGCAACTTCAAGAGACGAGCAAAGGATGTGTCGTTGGCAGGGCATTGGAGGAAGTGTGTTGTGAGGGTCGAGATGGGAGAAGGGGAATCTGTTGAAAGGATGTGCTACCTGAAGGACAATTTTTTGGTTTGTGTGTGTACGGACATGAAGATCCGGGTTTTTGCAGGCACAGAGCTGAGATGTGTGATTGAGGCTCGCGAGATGGGAGTGCCGTATCCGCATCCGTTAGAAAACACATTTGTGATCAGCGGAGGGCACTTGAGGATGTATGATATGGACAAGATAGTGTATGAAGAGCCGTTGAGCTTTGTAGTGAACGATGCACAGTTTTCGAGTGATGGAGAATGCTTTGTGATGGGTGATGAGAGAGGGATTGTGAAGGTGTTGACGGCGAGGCATGTTGAGTCGCCGCCTCAAATGCAGTTTTTCCGCAGCGACCTTGATCACATTAACTCAGGCTGGAGTGGGAATATTGAGTGTGATGATGAAGCAACATATGGGTTGGGTGGAGAAAGAAATGTAGGATGGAGGAAGATTGAGTATAGCATGAGCATGGGAATGAACTGCTGTATTGCAATTGAGGATCTGGGAGCAAAGCATTTCCTGAAGGACCGTGTGGAGTTGGATGCATTCCGTAGAAGGTATATGAATGTGCCGATGCCTGGAGACATGCAGGTAGTGAGCTTGCAAGCATTGAGCTCTGCAGAAAGCAGCGACGAGGAAAGTGAGTGCATGGAAGACTCATCAAGTGTTGATTCAGAGGACGAGATGCTGCAGTCCAGTGACGAAGTGACCGATGCAGTGGCTGAGAATAGGATTCCTCTGCGACGGTTTATGGTTGAGAGCGAGTCGTCATCTGATGAAGAGGCAGTGCATGCCAGGGCCAGACGAGCGGGAGGCATGCCGGAGCAGGTAAGTGGGCTACAAGGAAGGCTGCGGAGGTTTAACAGGCCGGTGATGAATGATGCAGGCATGCAAGCCGAGGAGGAAGGGATAGGAATGCCACGATTGAGAAGGCATCAAAGGAATGAAGCGATAGCCAGGCCTAGGCCAAGCAGAGTGTATGATAGGGAGGGAGCAGGTACAGGCAGTGAAGGAGTGGATGAGAAAGGATTGAAGAATGTGCAAGGAGTGTCTGGACTGACACAGTATGTACAGTCGTGGCTTTCGTCTTTGAGTCTGATTCCACAGCCTGGGGATATTGTTTATGTTGATTGTGAAGCATTGCGACGGTTTGAAGAATTTGAGGCTAGAAAGGCGTTTAGACATGCAAGCATGCAAACAGGATATTATGCGGTTAGGGAAGTGAATATTGTTAGGAATGAGCCGCCGTTTGTCAAGGCAGAGCTTGAAAGAGAAGGATTGGTGAGTGTGATAAAGTATTACAGGTATCCAAGATGGCAACCTATTATACTGTTGAGGGAGCAGATGGGGATAGAAGACATGGATGTGCTGAGATATGTTGGAGATGGGATGGTATATAGTGGGCGAGTGACTGGATTTAGAGGTGGAATGGTGGTAGTAGACTCTGGAGGAGGAAGTGTGATGGTGGACAGGTCTGATGTGCTTGTATGTAGCGGGGCGATCAATGAAGAGAAGCAGAATGTGATTTTGGAGATACTTAAGCAGCGAAGAATGTATAGGAGTTTGTATGTGACGTTGCGAAGGGAATCGAATGCGATATACTATGAGAATGTTGGGTCTACGGTGAATCTTGGAAGTGTTGAGCAAAGGATTCGAAATGGAGTTTATCGAACGTTTGCAGGGCTTAAGCTTGATCTTGAGATTGCGATTGGGAACTCGGTATATCTAGGAGAGGCAGTTCATGGATACTGTAAGATTGTTGCCGAGGAGATTATGGATGCAATGCATAGTGAGTGATGAGCTATTGAAGAAGCGAGGGCATGGCTTGAATATGAGTGATTAATAATAAGCATAAGAATGTTTAGATGTGATGGGGAGCCCATATGTACTATGATGTGAATTTGAGTGATGAGTATTCTGCAGATGAAGTAAAAGGACTTGAGGAAAGTGAGTATCAGGGATTTTGTGTCAACAAGAAAGTGAAAGCTGGTGAGTTTGGGAGACTGATGTGGAAGCCAAGGGATCTCGGTGTTGAGAAGGGATGCTACAGTAGGATTGAGTTGGAGTTTGCTGAGGGGGAGGCGATCAGCTACGATCAGAAGAAGGCAATGAAGAGCGATGTGTTTGTGGTGAAGATTGGAGGAGCAGGAGGGCTTGACAAGTTGATAAAGCTGCAGCCTGACATGATTAGCTTTGATTATTCAAGTTCAGTGCTTCGACTGAAGTCTGGACTGGTGAAGACAGCAATCAAGGAGAATATTTTTTTTGAGATTCCAATAAGGGAAGGATTGTATGGAGCTGAGCAGAGGGTGTGGTGGATGCGGAATGTGCGTAAGCTGCTTTTTGTTACAAAGGGAAAGAATGTGGTCGTAAGCAGTTCAGCAAGAAGGCTGAGTGAGCTGAAAAGGGTTGAGGATGTAGTTGTGATGCTACAAATGTTTGGATTGAAGAGAAGACGCGCAGAAGAGGTTTTGCGCAATTCCAAAAGGCTACTTGAGCAGTGTGCAATGAGAAGGCACTGCAACAAAGGAATGGTTGTGACTAGCACCGATGATGGAGCGCTGAAGAGAGATTTTTTGGTGAAGAAGTACAAAGGCTTGATGGAGAAGAGATGAATAAAGGATGTATAGAATGAATATTTTGATGCTGGAGTTTGTTCCCTATTGAATGTACTTTGATGTGAATGTTGACGCGAGATATTGCAGTGATGAAGCAAAAGCTCTGTTGGAGAATGAATGCGATGGGCTGTGCTTTAACAGTGTGGCTAATGCGAATGAAGTGATGCAGATGAAGCTGCATGATGCATTAGAATTGGAAGGCAAGCAAGTATTCAGAAGAGTTGAAATAAAGTACTTGAGAGTGGAGGAGCTGCCCAGTATGGAAGAGATGGAAGCGATTCGTAAGGCAAGGAGGTGTATGGTTGCAGTGCTAATGAATGAATCGAGAGACTTTGAGGTGATTATGCAAATTGAACCTGATATTATTACATTTGACTTTTCGAAGAGAGCATGCTTTCCAGACAGGATGGCTGATGAGGCAGCGAAGAGGAATGTATTTTTTGAGATCCGGACAGTGGATGGGCTGTACAGGAGGAAAGAAAAGGCTATGTGGATGAGGAATGCCAGGAAGCTTCTTGCTGTTACAAAAGGCGTTAATGTAGTGATTTCTAGTGGAGCAGCATGCTGTACGGAGGTAAAAAGGCCTTTTGAGTTTATGAGTGTGTTGCAAGGGATTGGAGCGGATGGGAAATGTGCAAAGCAGGTGGTGATGAACTCTGCAAGGTTGATGAGATCGTGCAGGGTCTGGAGTGTGGTGAAACAAGGATGAGATGATACAAGTATCTGTTTGAAACACATCTGTTGTGTGAGGAGGGTGATAAATAGAAAGCGATACGAGACGAGTGTATGGGAGGAAGGCGCAGTAGAATGAGAGCAAGAAGCAAGGCGCAGAGCGGTAGGAGCATGCATTCCAGTGGATCTGCTGATGTGAAAGTAGATGAAAGGCATGAAGGTGTGGGTAGCAAGTGTAATGTTGACTTCCGAGAGCTGAATGAATGGATGCCTGACACAGATCTGGATATGAAAGATGAGGTGATTGAAGTAGCTGCAGATGCAGAAGTGGGGAGTAACGATTCAGTCTGTATTGCGGCGAGTGGGGAGGCCATTGAGATTGAGGAGATCAAGGAGATCAAGGTCAATGTTGAGAGGATTACGGACGGAGAGGGGTTTAAGATAAGCGAGGAAGTGGATATGTATGCAGTAGCAAAAGCCGAAGAAGACAAGGGCATACACAAAAGGATATACTCGATGACGCCAAGCCTACAGGTCACGATGACACCTCAGATGCCGGTCAGAAAGGTGATTCATGATGAAAAGCCAAACGGACTTGCAGTGAAGGACGAGTGCATGAAGCTTCCAAGTAAGATGATTATCAACAGGTATCCTGGGCATCTATTTGTGCACATTGATCAGATAGAGAGATTTATGAGCACACGAAATGACATAGAAGAGGTCTCGATCAGAGCAGAGTGCAAGGCAGTTACGTACGAAACAAAGAAGCACAGGCCATGGACGGGCATTGGAGTTAATGAGATGATCAAGATTCCGATTGAGAAGATGGATGGAGAAGGGCTGTTGCTTAGGTTTGTGCTATTATTGCACCGCAAGGCATCTGGAATGTTTTCGAAGGCCGAGGTGACGAAGTCTTGCGAGTCTACGCTTGTGGTTGATGTGGAGAGGATCCATTCTGTACATAACAACCTGCTTGAGAGCATGCTGCTTTGGGACAATTATACATCGAAGAATGTGTTTAAGAACATCCGGGGGTTCTTCACGAACGGAACGCCTGATGCATGGGGCTTGAGGCTGTTTCTGTCGTTTGTGTCTGATGATGAGCTGCATCTGATTCCTGCAGCAGTGCCTTGCGATCTGAGATCGCTGAGCAAGTGGCTTGTGGTGAAGAAGTTTTCATATAACATGTGGTTCAAGGGATTTGTGAACCTAAGGGGGGATGTAGGTGATGTGTGCACGAATCTGTGGAAGAGGAGATATGTGAAGTGCTATGGATACATGATTTTTGTTTTCAACGAGCACTCTCGAAGTCTTGTTGGGACGGTCAATCTTGTAGATGCAGGGTTTGATCCTGGGGCAAGCAGCGGGATCTATCTAGAGAACTTTCTGAGTGTTTCTGTTGGGCAGGGCAGCGTTGAGTTCCACTTTGATTGCAAGGAGAAGTATGAGCTGTGCAGGAATGCGTTGTGTGCGATGCTTCCGCGAACGTTGTTTTACAAGAAGGCGCACCAGTGAATGGTGGAGTGGAGAGGTGTTTGAGTAAGGAAGCAAACCGCTGTTATTAAATTGATTGGTATGAATTGATGTTAGCACAGTGGTGTGTTGTGTGAATGTGATGAGTATTTGATGGATGTGGCTGTGAGTAGCAATGGCGTTGCCGGTGCCTGATGCATTATTTCCCTCCAATTTATGTGTTTGAAAAAAGAAAGCATCCCTCTGTTTATGCGATTGGCTTTGAACGAGACGACGAATTGCAGTAAGGTATTGGAGGCAGAGGGAAGGAGCAAGAAGATGACCAGTGATAAGGATAAGGTGCTGTTGTTTCTTAAGGATGTGTGCATCAAGACAAATGATCACTCGTTGAAGTATGACCTGAATAGATGTATTGAGATGGTTGAAGGAAAGGAGAACCAGGAGGTTGCAGATCTTCGAAATGCACTGGAAGAAGCGCTAGTTGAGAATGAGACGCTGTTTACGGAGAAGTGCGAGCTTGAGGTGACTCTTGAGTGCATGAAGGCCGAGAAGAGCGGAATCTGAGTATAATGCGATGCCGTGTACCCCTTGGCTAGGATGTATGCGAGGTATAGATTGTAAGTGGACGTTGTTAATTTAGGACTCTATCCAAAAGGACGGGATGTATTAACGATACAGTTCTTCAAAAGTTTATTTATGAGTTGATTAGAGAGTTTGGAGGCAGTGATTTGGCAAGCAAGGTGGATATTGAGTGCCATAACAACGTGGTTGGGATTGAAGTGGAGGCGAATGCTTTTCTTGATGTGCACGGGGCGTTGTTTTTATGTGGAGAGTATGGGCCTGTTGGATGCAGGTTTGACCGGATTGATTAAACCTTTGGCTACTGTTCGTGCTGTTTATTGTTTTTTATAAATTGATTGATTGTCTGAAAACAGATGCATGGAAAAACAATTAGTGGTGCCTGTGGATATGAAGAAATCGACACTGTCTGGGGTGATGATGTAGGCAGAATGTGGCAGGGCCTGGATGCAAATGGATGCCATGTGATTGTTCTTGAGAGGATTATACCAGGGCTGCAAGAAAAAGAAAGGAACAAGGTAGTGTCTCTGCTGATGAGCCATGCCATGAATGCCAGAAGTGGTGCTTTGCGAATTACAAAGTGTTTTTGGAGGAATGATATGCTGTATGTGATTCATGAAGGAGCGGTGCATGTAAAAAGCAGGATGGTTGAAAACTGCCTGCCTGATAATAACTTTAGTGTGCTGATGTTTGTGCAGGCAGTGTATGCGGTTGGGATGAGTATTGATGATGAGTGGCTCTGTAGTAGGATCGGCATGAAGAATATGTGGATAGCAAGTGATGGGAGCCTGCAGATTGGATGGAGTGATATTATGCTGAATTGTTTGATGATGCCTGAAAATGAAGGGAAGTTGATGGAAAACAATATGGATTACGATGATTGTGGATGTGAAGTGAAAGAAAGGCGCGGTGCCTTTGGAACAAGTGGAGGCTTTAAGTATGGTAAGAATGAAGCTGATCGGCTGGTTGTGTTTCCGATGGCTTTGAAGGGGATGCTTTTGGAGTTGATGAAGCACTTTTTGAGAGTTTCTGATACGGATGTAGATGCAGAAACGGTTCATGTGCATGTAGATGCCTTGGCACGGCACGAATTGGAGCAGCCCATGAAGAACTTTCTAAATGATTGCAAGATGATGGTAGATGTGCTGTTTGTGAAGGGAGTGCGGATGGACGAGGTAAAGAGATGGGTCGAACTGATGCATGAAGCATCTGGCAAGAGTATGCAGAGGATGTGTGGTGCATTCAGAAGCGGATATAAAGGCGAGATTACCGATTGCAGAGGCACCCCGGTAGCGATGGACGAAGCAGAGAACAGCAATGGCGAGACAGGCAATAGCAGCATGGAGGAGGAAAGCAGTAAGAATGCAAGTGAGGGGGAGTGCAGGGCACGATCGTTTGGCACAAGGGAGTACAAGAGAGGGCGATTTCATGTGTGTGAGGCTGTTCCACTAGGAGATAAGGACAAGGAAGTGCGGAATGATGAGTATGCTAGCGGAATGATGAGGATGTTAAGCTTACAGAGTAAGCAGATAGGCATAATTGCAAAGGCAATGCACAGGGTAGGGAGTCTTGATACGAATGAGAAGAACGAGCTTGCGTGTTTGGATGAGGAGTGGAGGATTCTCATGAGTGATCTTGAGAGATGATAGTGCAGAGCACCGAATGAGGCATACACATGAAGACGGAGGAGCAGCATTAACGAATAGATTAGATGGAGAGAAGCATGAGAGGTGATAAGAAAGAGCCTCAAGAAGATATATTAAATGTGATTAAAGGATTTTGAACGGAGCAAGCATCCCTGCTGATGGAGCGCTTTTTTTATCTATGTGATCTGAGTTTTTTTTCGTCTTCGATGGTTCAAGGATCTATAATAGCATGCGATAAGATGGGAACGATTCATACGATAATGCCGATAATGGGGGAAATAGCAGTGGATCATTTTAAGAAGGACATTAAGTTTTATCCTGTTGATGATCTTTGCTTTACCACGGCTGATATGGTGAGGGGGATCCGTGTGTGGGATAGATGCCGAGCGGAGATAGTGTATTCGTACAAGGAAGACAGCATCAGGATGCATGCATATGGCAACAATGGATGTATGGCGGCAGTTGGAGAGGGAAGTGTCAAGCTGTATGATCTTCGGGTGCGGTACAGCATCGATGCGATTCCTGTTGGGATGTGCAAGATGGCTGAGTGGGGCGATAGCCGAGTGTACTGTGTTGGAGAGAGCAGCATTGTGGAATACGACACTCGAAACCTGTGCAACATGGTGAGTGGGCAGCGAAGCGAGGACAGGATGAATGTTGGCAAGCTGGAGGGAGTGATTGATTTTGCAAGCATGTATAAGGGAGAGTTCTGTATACTGAAGAGGAACGGTTCATTGCATTTGCAGAAGATTGAGGGGCTTAAGGAAGTGGGAGGATATGAAAGGCCGACTGTGGGGTCTAAGATGATCAAGATCCGGAATGAGATTGACGATTTTGCAATTGGAGTGCTTGACGAGAACAGAGTTTGTGTCTATGAGTATAGAGACACATGGGCATGTGCGATTGATGGAGTGCATCATGTAGACTGGATGTGGTTTTGCCAAGACAATTGCTATGTGTTTGCGGACCGAAAGGTGTACCTGATGGAGGGAGGGTATGAGGAGTTCAAGAAGGCAATGAGGAAGGGTGAATAACGTAATGGATTGAATGTGAATGGCCAGGCACCGAATGTGGCTTGAGGTTATTTGAAGAATGCGCGTTAGCATGGCCGTGCAAGATTAATGAATGTAAGGCATATGCATGCGGAAGTAAATAAAAATGGAGAGAGCCCCGCTGTATAAACATGAAGCTAAAAAGATCGATACAGAAGACATTTGGGTCGACGAAGGTGAAGAGTATACAGATTCATCCCACAAGGGCAATTGGATTTGCAGGACTGTTTGATGGGCAGGTGCAGATATGGGACATGGAGAGGATGGTGCACGTTGATAATGTGCATGTATGCAGTGAGCCGATTCGAACCTGTGTGATATTGAGGAAGATGGACTGGATTCTTATTGGAAGTGATGATGGATGTGTTAGTGTGTATGAGCTAGGAAAGTATAGGAAGATCAAGTCTTTTCAGGCGCACAGCGACTTCATAAGGAAGATAGAGGGGCATCCTGAGAAGCCTATGTTTGTGACTGCGTCTGACGACACTACGCTGAAGATGTGGGTGTACGAAAGCGGGATCAGCCAGTCGATGGTGTATACTGGGCATGGGCATTTTGTTATGGATGTGTGTTTCTATCCGCAGGACAGCAGTAAGTTTATTTCGTGCTCGCTGGACTCGACGATTAAGGTATGGAGTGTGGAGAAGCCGCACTGCATAAGGACATTCAAGGGGCACAGCTCTGGAGTGAACAGTGTGTGTTTTGTAAGCGAGGGGTATTTGGTGTCTGGAGCAGATGATCTGACGCTGAGGGTATGGGATTTTCAGACGGGGCAGTGTGTTTCTACGCTTGCAGGGCACACAAACAACATCAACAAGGTGTATATGCTCAATAGTTTCCCGTTGTTTGCGTCCTGCAGTGAGGATGGAAGTGTGCGCCTTTGGAACAGCAAGACATTTAAGCAGGAGGACATGCTTGCACTGCAGGGAGGAAGGGTATGGGACATCAAAGAGCGGGATGGAATGATGATGATTGGAAGTGACGAGGAGCTTGTATTTGTTGGAGCACAGCAGATGTCGTCGCTTGCAGGGATGAGCAGTGGAAGGATATTCTATTGTGTGGGGAATTCTGTATATGGTTCTAGAAGCGATAGTGTTGGAGTAAGGAAGGTGATATCGAGCATGGACTTCTGTCCTGATGAGTTGGAGGTGTCTCCTGGTGGAAAGATGATAGCGCTTGGGAATGAAGGAGAATACAAAGTGTATTCGTCGTTGGGATTCAGGAGCAAGTATTCTGGCGAAGGAAGGGACTTCCATTTTATTAGCGAGGAGGAGTTTGTGGTAAGAAATGGAAGCATGATTAATTTCTATAGGAAAGCAGATGTGCTGAGGAGTGTGGAGATCCAAGGAATCAGCAAGCTGTTTTACCTGACGCCGGAACTGTTTGGAGCGAATGTAATGGAGCGTACAGTAATCTATTGCATGTCTGGAAGGCCTGTATGCCAGATAGAGGGCACTTCAAACCATCTGGTAGTGGTTGGGGATTTTTTGATTGCGTGTGGAGCAGCGATTGATGTGTATAAGATAAACCACGAGATGATTGAGGGATTTGAGGAACTAGATATTGAGGTGACGGATGAAATGATGGCAGAAGTGCTCGAGCATGTGTGCAGTGAGTACTATACAGTGAGCTCGTGCTGTGTGGATAGCGGGGTGCTGTATTTTGTGTCATGCATGAAGGGATACTATATGATTGTTGGAGAAAAACCTTATGTATATCATTTTTCATCGATTGAGGGCATACTAGCGGGGGTTGAAGGAGAGGATGTGTTATACCTGCAAGACAAATTGGTTGAGAGCAGGAAGGTAGATGGCCGGTTTCTGGAATTCCAGAGGGCTGTTCTACTAGGAGATGCAATTGAGGTGAGTGATGGAATACGTAGTCGGGCGATTGTGTTTTTTGGATCTCTGGGGATGCATGAGGAGGCACTGAGGCTATGCATGGATGATAATCAAAGATTTGAGATTCTGCTGAAGCTAAATCGGTATGATGAAGCATTTAGTAAGGCCAACAGCATTGCTAAGTATGAGAAGCTTGGGAGGTACTTTCTTAAGAATGGAGAGCTTGAGAAGGCATCAGATTGTTTTTTTAGATCAAGGAACTGGGTTAGTGTGCTGCTAACAGATACGTTGTGTGGAAAGAGGAATCTCAGTGCGGTTGGTGATGAGTGTAAGAGGGAGGGGAGGCTTAACCATGCGTTTTTTGCGTACTTGAAGAGTGGAAGGTATGAAGAGTGTGCAAAGCTGCTGCAAGGTACTGCATTTTGCACACTTTTTGCGAAGAATTATCTTGATTAAAATAGTTGTTTGATGTATTTGTATGTGTAGTATCATTCCAAGCAGATGAAGATGGCTGGGATGATGAGTTGAGATATTATTGAGGAGAATGACCCTGCAGCAATGGGAGCAGCAGAGGTGAAGAAGTGGGTACCTGTGGAAGTAACAACACACAATCTGTACTTCCATGAGGAGGCGTCGGTATTTACTATGGATACAAACGGAAAGTTGATAGCAACCGGAGGAGGCGACAATGAAATAAGACTGTGGAGAGTTGAAAAGGGTAGTATGGAGGAGGCAGAGTTTCGTTACACAACAGCATTGAATTCGTCAGTAAAGATTGTGTATGATTCTGTTCTTTCTGGGCATAGGAGAGGAGTGAATTGCATTAGATTCAATCAAGATTTGCTGGCATCGTGCTCTGATGGAGGAGAGGTTATTGTTTGGATAAGCAAGAAGCCTCATGTGGTAAGGAGGATAGACGGGGACGATGCATACGAAGTTGTATGGGGGAGAGGCCATCTGTTTGTTGGATTATCGAGTGGATGCATACTTGTTTACAAGGTGCATCACTACAGACTGCATAATGATGCTGAGGCAAGCATGAATGGCAGCAATCCTGTGAATGCCGCTGATGAAGGCATGGATGCACAAATGATACAAAAGATTCAATGCCACAGCGATGTGATCCAGGGGCTTGCATTCAACAGTCGCTTTGGATTGTTAACATCGTTAGGAAAGGATAGAATTGGAAAAACATATGCGTTTACAGATAAGCTTGTGGAGGTGGAGCACATGGATGAGATTAATGGCGAGAAGATGTTTTCTACTGGCAGGGGGTTTTTCAGAAGATTGTCGTACTCTCAAGACGGTACACTTCTGTATCTTGCCAGTTGCAGCTCAAGCAGTGTTATTGTGTTGCATTATCCATTCAGGATGGAGCATGTGTATGCAAGAATAGGGCCTTTGGATTCTGAGCCTTTGAAAGTTGTTTGCGATGAAGACAAGCTGTATGTTGCAACACGAAAAAGACTGTATATGTTTGTAGAGCAAGAGCTTGTGCTGTGTGTAGACAACATTTCTTTTATGGCAATAACTGATGGATGTGCTTTTGACGGGATGTGCATTCTCTCATCTCTGGATGGCTTTCTTTGTTCGCTGCGTGTAAAGCAATGATGGAAGGTTGGTGCTGTGTGCACAGGCCAGAGGAAGCAATGCAGTATTTGTGAATGGTTATGAATGGCCCTTGGATGGGGATTCAGGATAAGATCAACGAGATAGAAAGTGAGATGGCAAGGACACAGAAGAACAAGAAGACTGAGCATCATCTTGGGATTCTCAAGGCGAGGCTTGCAAAGTACAGGCAGGAGCTTGATGCACCAAGGATGAAACAGAGCAGAGGCGATGACTTTGAGGTGTGCAAAAGCGGAGATGCCAGGGTTGCATTGATAGGATTTCCAAGCGTTGGAAAGTCAACACTGCTGTCCAGGATCACAAGTACGCACAGCAAGGCGGCTGAGCATGAATTTACGACGTTAAGCTGCATTTCTGGCAAGATGCGGCTGAATGACGCATGGATCCAGGTACTTGATCTTCCTGGGATTATTTCCGGTGCTTCGCAGAACAAGGGGCGAGGAAAGCAGGTGATTGGGGTTGCAAGAACGGCAGATATGATATTAATGGTGCTTGATCCAAGACGAAGCGACGACAAGAAGATTCTTGAGCACGAGCTGTATGAAATGGGAATCAGGCTCAACAAAAAAAGACCTGATATATCACTTACGCCTACCTCCAGCAATGGAATAAGCATTGGAATAACGTGCGAGCTAACAAGAACAACAGAAGATGTAATAAAGGGCATTTTGAGAGAGTACAGGATCAACAATTGCCAGATGCTGATAAGAGAAGATGTGTCTGAGGACGATGTCATTGATATATTAAGTGGGTCTGTTGTGTACATAGACTGCCTGTATGTGTACAACAAGATAGACGAGCTTTCACTAGCCGACTTCAATAAGATTGCCGAGCAGCCAAATAGCACAGTGATTAGCTGCCAGAGGGATTGGAACATCGACGGCCTTGCTGAAGATATTTGGAACAAACTGGATTTGCTGAGGATATACACAAAGAAGAAGGGAATGTTTCCATCGATGGACGATCCAGTGGTTATCAAGAGAGGCGGAACTGTTAAGGACCTCTGCATGCACATACACAAAGACTTCTTAGAGGGATTCAGGCATGCTCTTGTGTGGGGAACAAGTGCAAAGCACAGCCCACAAAGAGTTGGGCTAGGGCATTTGCTAGAGGACGAAGATGTTGTTCAGATATTTTTGAAATAGCATGTTTATGCTTAGAAAGGAATTTTGATCCATGCAATACCTTTATTAATACCAAGTGTTTGAATTGTCCAAACCTTTGTGCTGTAAAAGCACCTGTATTACACAAAAAGCATCTACATGCACAAATGCTCAGATTTTATGGGAGGTCTTATGCATGATGAATGCATCAATATATTTCTTCAGCTCTCCACTTGCTTTAGAAAGTGTATTCCTGAATATTGAGCATGCAGCATCAGTTGGAATATTTGTAGTTGCTAGTGATGCATTCCTTAGTAAATCATTTTTGATGAAGTATGTGTGTATTGTTTTGTTGCTTGATGCCACTTGATTCAGCATCTTGGAAATAAATATTCTATTTTGTATGTCTAGGAAATTGAACGAAAACGCTTTCTTAAGAATCCCAGTGCTTATAAACAGCTCTCTGGCCCTAAAACCATATCTTGAAAACAGATACAGCATGAACTTCTGTATCTCCTCATTACACACAAGGTCTGTGTTTTTAAACATCACTGAGCTTTCTATGAAAAACATGTCCAATCTCTCTGCAGAGCATAGCTCAAGCATAATATAAAGACCTTCAAAAAGATACAGTAATTGATCTCCATGTGGATTCAGTGCTACCAGCATATCAATCCTCTGGAAAACATACACGAAATCAATCTTTTCGGCTGCTTGATTCCTGAATAGGTAGCAGATGTAATAAAACATTTCCGACGTGTCCTCTTTCTCTATATACATTCTGCTTAGATATGCTTCCAAACTTCCAAACTTACATCTTCTGCTACAGCACATCTTCAGCAACTCTACAACATCAGAAAGAGGCAACTCTGCAACTTTTGGATTCCTAGACGCCATTTCTTTCCTGTCAAGTATGCGCACAAAGCTTTCATACACTCTTGCCAGCTCAACACAAAAATTACCCGCTATAACTATTTTGTAGAACAGGTAAGGCGACATACTGTCACAAAGTGGTACTCCAAGCACTTCAAAAACAGTATTTCCATGCTCAACTAGCATTCTGAATAGATACAGGCTCCGGCACTCCACAAGCTGAGCAATTCCTTGCTTGCTGCGTATTGCTTGCTCAAAAATGTCATTTTCCATGTACATGCTTGCCTTCTTCAGCTTGGCAAACCAGTTCTCGCTCTGTGCATTTTTGCAATCTATATTTTCTTTGCTGCCACTCCTGCCAGATTGCTCATCTTCAGCACTCACATCCATTCCACTCAAAAATTCGTAGAACTCGTTTCTAATCTTTTCCGTTTCAAAGCACAGTGCATGTTCAGCATCCTCATTAAACACATGGACCACATTCTCCTCAAACTTCGTGTATGCCTTTCCACACAGGTCTACCCACATTCCTTCACTGCTGTTTATGTCTTCAACAAAAATACTTCCTTTGTGAATCCTCAAAGCCATCCCAACACACATCTCATTCCACTGTCCTCCGTCATTCTCAAGCACACAGACATTCATTAGTTTATTTCAGGGATTGCTTCTTCTTGCCTGATTACACACATCATGCTACTTCCACTTCTGCCATATCCACTGCATTCCTTCTCATCCCACAAGCTAACCGTTATGCTCCTCAATCAATCATTTCAATCAAATACTTAGCGAGACGTTCATTCTACAATCCAAATCCTGCATCAATCTTCCTGAGTCCGCTATATCCTAGCAAAGACAACCCTGCCAGAGCAAACATAAGGTGATACAAATCAGTCTCATTTCCAGGACGATCAGAAAACCCTCCAGCCTTTCCCTGGCACGACAGAATAAACCTGATAAGACACTCCTCATCAATACATTGCTGCTCGCCAATCATCACGGCCGATGAGTATGCCCAGAACGAATAGCACACGTCCTCCTTCTTGTTTATACGCCCTGCAAGCCCTCCAGATGCTGTCTGTCTCATTGTAATAAACCTCCTCACTCGTGTACGGTCTATGCATTCAAGCGCCCCAAGAGATCGCAGCACACTCAAGCAGCAGAATACCTGTGCTGCATGAGATTCTGCACCAGGTATGGCTCCAAATCCACCATCTTTGTTGAAGCACCTCAACGTATACTCAATAATCCTCGGCACATCAATGCCTATGCTCGTCAGGTAACTGCCATCCATCGGCGCTGCTAGCATCTCGGTTCCAAAGCATCCTTCTCCAAGTAGACAAAGCAGGTGCAGACTCAGAACCGCACAGCAATTGATTCTTGTGTCCTCTTCTCCATACTCATCATTGTGAAAGCATCCAGAGCCCTGTTGCAGCCCACATATGTACTTTACTGTGTCTTCTCCTTCATACCGATACTTGCACATATATAGTATCTGTAATGCATTAAATGTACTTGTTATGTTCGATGGATATCCCTCACTGCCTCCAAACCCTCCATCTGTGTTTTTACTCCTCAGCACATACGCAACAGCTTCGCCTTGTGCCTCTGCTGCTCTTTGATCTTCCAGAATCAGCATCGAGTTTACTGCCCAATACACAGTATTCAGTCTATACGGTGCTGACAAGTAGTACATCAGGTTCTTTGCACTCATCATCCTATGCACAAAATCACGGTGTTCATCCTTTCTCAGCTCCATTCAGGGTCATACTCCTGATAGCTTTCATCGCGATGCCTGCATGCCACATCATCCTGTGCATTCGACACTTCATCACATAATGCACATGCAGACACTACTCCGTGAAAATACATTCAATGCACTGCGCACTGCAATTGCATAACAAACACAAATCATGTCTTCATTACAGCGCTCAAATATATAATATGCTGAATCAATAAACAAACAAATGGAGGATGTGGAAGACAACATACATCCTCAGCCATACACAGATAATATCCCTACAGAAGATGAGGTTGAGCAGGATGCAAACAGCAGACAGGGACTCTTCAAATACTTCAGAGTTGCAAGAATAGAATATCCAAAATTCATCCTGCTCGGCGTGATGCTTGGAATCGTGGGATTCATATACTCGTTCATGAGGATTTTAAAAGACATGTTTGTAATGGTAAGGCAGGAGCCAACAACAATCCTGTTCATCAAGATATTCTATGTGCTTCCGGTGTCGATGACCCTGGTGTTCCTCATCCAATACGAGCTTGGCTCAAAGACAATCTCTAGAATATTCTCCATATTCTGCGGCGGGTTTGCATCGCTCTTCTTCTTCTACGGCGCTGTCCTTCTGATCGAGGAGCATGTCTCGCCCTCAAGATTCCTTTTCAGAGACATCTTTGTTGATGGAAAAATGTCTTCGAAAGGACTCAACATCTTCAAGTCGATGTTCTTGACAATCAACGAGCCGCTTGCTACACTTGTGTTCATTACGGCAGAGATGTGGGGCAGCCTGATTCTGTCGTATCTGTTCATGAGCTTTCTCAACGAGTCGTGCACAATCAAGCAGTTCTCCAGGTTTATTCCCTCACTGATCATCATCATGAATCTGTCGCTGCTCCTGTCTGCGATTGCAACAGGCGGGTTCTTTAACCTCAGGAGAAGTTTCACGTTTGAGCAGAACCAGTTTTTCCTCTCAGGTATTTTCATTACACAAGGCATTCTAATAGTGCTGGTGATCTTCTTGAAGAGCTATCTTGAGAAAGTAGTGATGGCAAGACCGTTGTTTGTTGTTTCCTCAGGATCAAGAAGGAAGAAGGCAAAGGCAAATGTCTCGTTTTCAGAGGGGCTTGAAACCATGTCCCAGTCCAGGCTTCTTCTTGCAATGTCTCTGATAGTGCTATTCTTCAACATCTCCTACAACATGATTGAGTCCACATTCAAGGCCGGCACAAAGGTTGCTGCTGAATACTTCAATGAGGAAAAGGGGCAGTACTCTGGAAAGTTCAATCAGATTGACCAGTACATGACTTCAATCATTGTGATCGCCTTGAATCTGTCGCCTTTCTCAAGCCTTGTGGAGACAAGCGGCTTTCTGCTGGTAGGGATGATAACGCCAATCATCACGCTGACGGCTGTGATTTTCTTCTTTGGGTCTACGATCTATAACACGGTTGTTGAAGGATCCTCGCTTAAATTCCTGAGCGGGCTTTTCCCTGATGGAGAGCTGAGGTATAAGCTTGAGAACTACTCAGGTATCATATTTCTGTCTCTGCTGAAAATTGCAAAATACTCGGCATTCGATATATGCAAAGAAAAACTTGGCATGAGAATCAACCCCACATACAGAGCAAGATTTAAGAGCGTCTATGATGGGATTTTTGGAAAGGTCGGGAAGTCAGTGGGCTCGATATACGGCTTGATGATGTTTGAGATTCTTTCGACAGAGGATCTCAGGCAAGCAGCCCCAATCACTGCAGGAATCGTCTCAGTGTTTGTGGCAATGTGGATTAAGTCAATAGTGTATCTATCAGGCTCGTACGAATCCGCCGTCAAACAGAATAAGGATGTGGATATCGACATGGCTGAGACTGAGAAAGATCAAGTGGCAGAGCCCGAGAAATCAAAAATGTAGATTAAAATGTACTCAACACATGTACTCATTGCATTTACTTACTCACAAGCTCCTTGTACAGCATATCGTAGCGTGCTATCCTTTTCATGTACTCCTCGTTCTCAGCACTGCAGCACCTGATTTGGAATGCACCATAGATCGACATGCTCAGAATAAACACCAACACCAGCATGCATTGCATTATCACATGCATCAACAGTGGCACTCCGCCATGCATCCTAACAAAAAGCATGCATCCAAGCATGCATATTGCCATCCAGCTTCCAATTGATATCTTTGCTTTCTGCATGTAAGGGCGATCAAACCAGCACATAAACACGGCAGTGCACGTGCACAATCTTAACAAATATTTCTTGGAAGCACAATTCTGCAAATCTTTCATGACTGTACCGTGAACTTATATCCACATTCACAGCTGTAGAACACGGTTTGCCCCTCATCTGCAGACCTCAGCTGTGCAGTATTGTACATCATCTCTTCATTCCCACACTTTGGGCACTGATGCTTGATCTTTGCACCTTTAACTTCAATTTGCTCAAAATGCGTTTCTTTCTTGACATTAACAGTTCTACAGACGGGCTTTAGCATTTCAACGCTGTTTTCTCGCTTGCATCTCAAGCATACAATCTTTCGGCTTTCTGAAGCAACATGGATTAATGTTCCACAGATACAGAACATCAACTACTGGGCTCCATTTCAAATGATCTTGAATACCGCGCCTCATCATTTGCAGGCCAATGCCAACTTTGCCATTACGAGTACTTCCAGCCTCTCATGCATGTTTTATGCTTCATGACATGCAGCTCAATAAATTCAGACATCTCAATGTTTTATTCACTAATATTCATTCTAGCTTTATTCATAGTGAAAATATCAAATATTGCTAATATCAGGTTGCCTGTTCATAAAAACATCCACGATGTCCCCCGGTCATGCTGAAGACATGCCACATAGACCAAGAGGTTCGGCTCTGCAGATGGTCCAGTGCATCGCGCTTACATCATCAGTACAAGCAATGCATGAGCCTGATTGATGTAAGAAAGTGCAGCAGAGAGGCACTCAAGGCCAACCCTTGCAACATCCAGGCACTGTACAGCCTTGGGAAGTGCCATGTGGAGGCTAGAAACCTTAAGGAGGCCGAGGCAATCTCAAACAGATTGATGCATCTTGGTGGAACATGCGAGGCGCTGGTACTCAAGGGGCATGCATATCTGTGCAAAGGATGCCTTGAAGATAGCCACAGAAGCTTTCTGAAGGCATACCATCATGCAGTGCATAAAGACAAGTTCCTCATTTATGGAATCTCTCTTTTCTACGAAGCAGCTGGAAACTATGCAAATGCAAGGCCGTGGCTTGTGATGCTGAGCAGGCTTGGCGTGGAGAAATACAAGGATTACGAGATCATGTTCAGAACAGGCGTGTGCCTGAAGAAGATGAATAGGCTATCTGACTCTGTAGATGCATTCCGAGTGATAGTGTACAATCCGTTTGAGTGCACATACGACATAGGCGCACAGATACAGATTGCACATCTGTATGAAATGCAGTCGAAAGAGGACCTTGCAATAGAGGTGCTTGGGATTATACGGGGGGCAAAAGTGTATTCCACTGCAATATCCAGACTTCTTGCATGGATAAGCTTCAAGAAAGGCGATTTCGAAGGAGTAAGGAGGATACACAATGAATATGAGCACAAAGAAAGCGATCCGTACATTGTGTACCTGATGGGAAGGATTGAGTTTGCGAAAGGATCGCATGATCATGCAATTAGATACTATGTCAAAGTAATTAATGTAGGCATGATGAACGGAATGGTACAAAACTCATTGGGGTGCGCATACATGCAGCAAGGAATGGTTTCTGAGGCAAGGAGGGCGTTTGCATGTGCATTGGAAGCCAACCGTGAGTCTGCGGAAGCAAGACGAAATCTTGATTTGATTGCAAGACTCCCGGATAGCGATAGCAGTGGAGAGCCGATCTCCAACAGCAGTGTTTTGCATGAAATATGCGAACAGCCGCCATCGATTGCGAACACAGGCTATCTGGACTCAAATGTCTTTCTTAGAGGTGCAGACCATGGTGTATGTCCTGGTACAATGCCTAAAGTTGCCACAATGAGAATATCAAAGTTCGAAAGATTTTTGGATTGATGGAGGCTGATTTGTGAATAAACTTTGTATATAATGCAATGCACATGCTCTTTTATGCATTAATTTGTTTCTGAAGGCCAGTGGAGCAATAGAATTGTGATATTTAGGATTGAAGCCCAATCCTCTTTGATGAGCGAAGCAATCCGATTCGCTTTTATTGGTATAAGACTGTGCGGAAATGCGAGCACGCCAGATCTATAGACATGCTTGGGTTTATACAAAAAGTGCCTGGCATGACGATGAGCAGCGACAGGGCGTTTGAGTCGCATCTTGAGTTTCCTAAAGACGCATTTGTGTCTATGGCACTTTGCATACTCATTGTATGCATCAAGAACCTTGTTGTTATGCCTGCGGCAGATATTTTTCTCGATATGTTTGATCAGCATAGCAGGCTCAGCTGTGGAGAAAAAAGAAAGTTCAGGGTCTCGTTCTGGAAGGCTGTGTTCTACACATTCACCACATTCTATGGATATGCTGTCATCCAGAACGAGTCGTGGGTTCCAAGTGCCAAAGGCATGATGGACCCAGTAGGCGCCGGTAATCTTCCATTCAGAGTAATGCTGTATTACCACATTGAGTTTGCATATTACTTTGTCGAGCTGTTCTATCTGTTCAACGAGCACATGTACAAAGACTTCTTGCAGATGGTTGCACATCACTTGGTGACCCTGCTGCTTCTTGGAATGTCTTACTGCACGGACATGGTCAGGTGCGGAATAGCAATAATGGCAGTGCATGACATATCTGATCCGTTTCTGGAGGTTGGAAAGCTGTTGAGCTACACGCAAAGCAGCACTCTCGCCACCATTGTGTTTATATGCTTCACAGTGATATTCATCGCTTCGAGGCTTGGCGTTTATGCATGCTTGGTGGCTGCACCAATAGGAATATATGTGTGGAACCACGAATTCAGGTTTACCCTGCGAGTTATGGCTGTGATGGTTCAAGCATTGGTTCTGATGCATATTGTGTGGTCATGTATGATATTGAAGATGGCGATGCGCATTTCTCGCTCCACAGGCATCAAGGACTGCCGAGATACCTCAACAGCTAGTATGCAAAGCGCCAAGTGCAAGTAAACCGTAAATTCAATATGCCTGCATGGCCAGCTGCTTATGTGCAAAAAGAGGCTCTGTGGTGCATTAGTATGGCTGATGCATCGTTTAGTAGCTCTATTTGAGATCTGAAACAGGCAGAAATATAAGTACCAGCAATGTAAATAAAAATGTACATATTGCACCTGATTGTTCTTGCAGCAAGTGCCTTCATGCTGGAGGAAACAAGCAGTAACATGTTTTACAGCGATATGGTCAAGAACAACAAATGCGTTATGTTCGTCAGAAAAAACTGCTGGTTCAGTAAGAGTGCACGGGACATGGCACTCGAGAACAATATCCTATGCAAGATAATTATTGCTGATGACAACAAAAACGCAGAAGAATTCTCAAAGCAATACAAAAGCACATTCCCCAACATATTCTTAGATGGCAGCTCAATCGGTGGCTTCAACGAGTTCAATAATAGAAACATCATGCAGGTATATCCATTCAATCACAAGCCATTCGATCCTAACCCCAGGCATATAAGCATCATCGATAAGATAATCTAATATAGCACTCGTTCAAACTAGTTACTACACAAATACAATACTTATTTAATCGCATATCTCCTCGCGAGACATCTCAACCAGTGCATTTACGGCAATTGCCTCCAAATCCGTTTCTCCATTTCCTTCCACCCATGGGTTCTTGATAAGTGTTGTCTCTGGATACGGCTTGTCATTGCCTGAGCCAGCAATAAACAATGGTATCGTGCACATTCTTCTATCAAAACGCCTTCTTGGCAAGCATTTCATGTATTCTTCCTCCTTATCATTCACAAGTCTTCCAGATCGATTATCCATAGATGGGCATTCTTCTGCCATTCCATGCTTTTTAGCACGGCCTATATCAGTTAGTTTGCATCTCTTTGTGCTGATGCTCCTGAAGTCGCTTGCCTTTGCTTGGCTATAACTATGGCACTCAGTAATATTATATCTGATGCCCTGAGTACTATTGCTTTCATGTGTGCTTTGATCCTTAGTGCAATTCTGCTCCTTTACAGCAGCATTCTCATTGTCCACGCCTACGCTCTCATGGCTGAAGTATGTATCGCCAGAGCAGACATTGTTCTTCTTGGATCTTGTTCTTGATTTCACTGATTCTGCCTTAAAGCTGATTGGCCTTTTCTTTCCATGTATCTTGTAGTAAAGTCCGCATGCATTGCACAGATAGCTGCCATCACCTGCTCTTCTCCACAAGGGTGTTGCCGTTGTACTGCAATTACTACAGAATCCATGCTTAGGTATCATCGTTAAAGGGTCGCTACACCACTTCTGTTTTGTACAGCAGGCAATAAGCACCAAAATTGCTCAAATGCATATAGCAGCTCAACACACAAAGACACATAAACCAAGGTATTATTTATATCAGCTATCAGCAATGGCTCTCCGTACAAACGTCATGCATGCTGCAATACATCTCCAAATGCAGCTCTGCAAGCTTGCTCTCACAAACTGTGCCTACAGCACATGAACATCCCTCCTACTATAGCTTTTCCTGCCATCTACAGCAATTCTTTTCCGGCATGTAGGACACACAAAGTTCCTTCGCAGCCACCTATCAACACATTCTGCATGGAACACATGCCCACATTCCAGATGGCGCACACGACTGCATCCTTCAAAGTCTTCCAGGCATATAGTGCATCCCTTGTTGATGAATTCATGGGATGAGTATAGGCACAGCGGTATCTTCTCTATCTCCTTGCACGACAGCCCTCTCACACCTTCGCCTCCAAACGACATAAACAGGTAGAACACAACCATCACTACAAGCACGATAGGCACATGCAAAAAGATTTGCACTCCAAGCGGAATGCCCATGTCTATGCTCTTGATCTTTATTTCTGGAGGAGTCAATGCATTCTGCTTGCTTCCTCGGCTAATAAGCGCCTTTAGCATGGAAAAGTCAAATGCCATTGCCCCAAGGACTACTTCCTGTGGCTCAGACTCATCCATGCTTTTGTAAACATCGTTGCTTATTCTATACACATCTGCATGATCTATTCTATAGTTGGCCCCCTCCTCGTGCTTTGCCAGTGCTCCAAACAGCTGCTGCGCATTATTTGCCTCCACCTTGATGTTTTTCAAAACTAGCTTCTCATCAAGGCGCTCATTCCGTGGCACAACATAAAGCGGCATGTATATGCTAACATCAAACATCTGGAGAATCACATAGGCGCCCGCTTTGTGGATGTTCATCTACTGGTAACCGAGACTGCATTTATTTGGCACGATGATACATTGTTTCAGCATTGCCCAGCATTTCGCAATTCAAGCCTGCATGACTGCTCTTGTTTCATCGGCACTTCTAGTGTTTCATCAACAATATCCCTCGCTATCTCTATAGCTCATTATACCAAAATACCTAGCATACATATTCATCATAAAACAAACATGCAAAACACACTTGAGGAAAAGCCCAGATATGCCAAGCCTAGTGTACTCTAAATCCTCAAAAAGAATTTCATGGGAAACGAATGCAGGTGTTGCAACACTTTCACATGTCGGCATTGCATCAAACAAGCAGGACCTTAAGCAAATTGAGTTCCAGACAATCCTTGGCATCCTTAGAATAGAACAGAGCAGTGAATTCCTTGTTTGCGTCACAGAACGAACATTCAAGGGGATTTATCGAAACCTGGAGATCTACCGAGTCGAAAGGATCAGGTTTATCAACACAAGCAATCCAGAAAAGACAGATGAGGTCACGTCCCAAATCAAAGGATTCATTCAATCTCATGATTTCTACTACTTCTCAGGACCATCATTTCTGGAGGATGAGTTTGAATGGAATAAGCACATGAAAGCAAATCTGCTGAGGTACTCAGAACAAGATGCATGTGCATACAAGCTTTCACACAGCCCATATTCCGGAAAAGACACAGACTTTGAGATTTCCACGCTCTTCTGTGGATTCTTTGCTGAGAATATATTTAAAGCATCTGCAGGATTGTACAGCATGGCGCTTCTCTCATTGGTTTCATCAAGCAAGGTTGGCACAAGGTATTTGTGCAGAGGAATCGATGCGGATGGAAACGTTTCGATGTTTGTAAAGACACACTTCGTGCTCAGGTGCAGTAAGCAGGCTGTATTTGACTTCACAATTATCAGAGGATCTGTGCCGATCTTCTGGAGTCAAAGGGAGCATGGGTTTCCAACAAAAGTAAGCATATGTGCCGATGAACAGGATGCACAAAAGGCATTCATCAAACATTTTGAAAAGCTGGCAAGGGAGTATGGGCACATACACGTAATCAATCTTCTGGGTGAAAAGAAAGACGAGAAGCTCCTCACAGCCAACTTCAGCAGGCTTTTGGACACAGAAGGAATCCCATACACAGAGTTTGACCTGAATGCATATGCAAATGACTACGACAACATGAAGTTTCTGCTGTACTTTAAGCTACAGGATGTATGCATGCACAACGTGGTATTCCGTGTGAACTGCCTCGACTGCCTCGACAGGACAAATGTTGCCCAGTCACTAATATGCATGTTCTACCTAGAAAAGATGGTTCAGGATGCAGAAGTGCTGAAGAGGATGCAGGAATGCTGGTCTGAGAACGGAAATGCACTAAGCAATCTGTATACAGGCTCGGATGCAATGAAAGGCGACCTCGCGTTGCAGGGAAAGCGATCGCTAATGGGATACATGGACGACATCATTATTTCGGCGACAAGGCTCATCAATGGAAGGTTTATTGACAGGCAAAAGCATAGTATTATCAACACTCTTTTGGAAAAGAGCGGAGATAATGCATTTTCAGAGGATAACGAGTGATGAGTGATGAAGTGTATTTTTGAGTTTTAACACTAAGGCTTGGCCATTGGATCGCTACACTTTGGACCACGGTGTGCTTATGAACCACAAGACATGCGAGAATGTATGCATGCAACAGCTCGCTCAAACAAGTTGATATCAACACCAGTAAGTCTTCCCACAAACACTGTTCGTAGAATACCTGATCCGAATGTTCCATAAGCACGGATCCATGCACCGACCTCAAGATGTGTTTTTGTAGACATAACTACACTGGTGTCGTGCGATGCAAGTATGTATTTGTTGTTTTCAAGCATGGCGGTTACCTTCCCGAACGAATACACGACCTCGTTTTCTTGCATAAAACCTAAAAGCTTCATCATCAATGGCTCGAGGGCTGATGAAGAATACCAATTGGTACGTGAATGCCAAATGCACAAATTGCAATGCATGAGTGCTGAAATATGCAATAAATGCTGGGATGGACAGTATCCCACATCACTGGATGCATGGCTGGAAGAGCAGCTTGTGCATTGGGTTTTTAAGGATAAAGCTGGTGATGCTGCAGCACCTGAAGATGTATATGGGTGTGCTCGTGTACTCGTTGGTGTTTTCTGAATGTGCATTGGGCTCTGTGCTGCTTGTTTGTCTTGTGATAGCAAACTCACTATCGTTCATGCAAGTCTGTGTTCTTGATCCAGGGCGAGTGAACAAAAAAGTGCATCACAGATACTCGCCAGACACAATCTTTATTGGGGACAGTGCATCTACACAGATCAGCATGAGCAAAAGCGGTGAATGGATAAGAAGAATAAAGATAGATGGAATTGTGTTTGAGGAGAAGTATTGCCTGGAATGCAATTTATTTCGGATTAGTGGGATGTCACACTGCAGAGAATGCAATAGGTGCATTCTTGACATGGATCACCACTGCATATGGCTGGGAAACTGCATTGGAAGGAATAATATGAAACACTTCCATGTTTACCTGTATACTCTTGTTGCAGTCATCTATACAAAGCTGATGCTGCTCTACAAGATATACAAAGTGTATTTACAAGGGAACGGCGATGGATCTAAGGCATTGATTGCCGTGGTGCTGCTTTTATTTGCAGTGTATTCAATCCTGTTCGGAGTAATGCTGCTATTTACTTTGTTTCATGTTTATGCGTCTTTGTGCACCTCACGATCAAGAGATATCATCAGGTATGGAATACGCTCCAGGCCTCCGAAAGTCAAAATGGCATGTATGAATCTGTGCACAATCAGATCTGATATTTCATTTGCTTATGCTTGAATGAATTGATGCATACCAAGCATCTGTAGAATAAATCAATTGAGTTATTCTTATGATATTCGTTGTGTACTAGTATGTGCTTGATTCGTTTTCAGTTTCTGTGTTTTCTGTGTTAACCTCGTAGTCCTTTCTGTAGAACAGCTCATTTGATGTGAACCATATTGAGCCCTTTGCTTTGAACTCACTGCAATTGTTCAGGTGCTCAAACTCAACCCTGAAGAGTGTCCACACAAATCTTCTGGTTATTTCAAGGAACTGCATCCACAACACAGGAATACTGAATGCGTACAAAAGAAGCCACGAAAACCGGCATGCCAGATTGAAAACAACACCAGCAGCATATACATGCCTAGGATACATCATTTTGCCTCTGATCATGCCCCAGTCCATGAAGATATCCCAGGCGCTCGAGCATATGGATGAAATCGCCATGCTCATTGCTTTGTGAACAAGAGCATCATGTGTCTTGCTCTTTTCGTACAGTGCAGCAGTGATTCCCACGGCTATGGTCAATGCGTATTTTAGCGCATTTGCTATGTGTGGAAACTTCAACCCTGTGTCCTTGTAACGCTTAAGGCATTGTGAAAGCCTTACGATTGCAAAGAAAGAGCTGATTGCTCCATCCAGCCTCCAATCAAGATCATATCCCTGCAAGAATATCTTCTTGAAGCATACTGTGAAGCTCTGTCCAACATCTGCAAAGTAGAAATGCCTGAAACGTACATGAGACATCGGCAGCACCAGTATTCGGAAGATTACAGATGCCAAGTAAAACCTCGACTGATGATAGAGGATCTGAAATGGAACAAGCATCACTAAAAAGCCGGCAATTGGAATCCAGTATGGGCTTACATGAAAAAACACAATGTTTGCCCAGGTACAAGCAATGTTAATGAATATAAAAGCCGATACCATTAGTAGATATCTATCAGATGTTAGGGACGAGCACACATCAAAATTGAAGATGAATTTGTAGTTGATGTGAAACCTTTTGAATATTGAAAGGCACAAACCAAAAAGAAATGCTCCATACTGCAGAAGAACTGTTGCAAAAAACATTTCCCTACTTGATTTGTTCTCTCCAAAGTCAAGCAGCGGAATAAGTCCAATCGACATTCCTCCAAGCATTCCCGATGCATACAAAGCAATTGGATTGCTTGTGTTTTTTCTCTTGAGCTTTCTGAACACAGTCCGTGCTTTTCCAGGATCGTTCCTTGCAAACACAGTCTTGTACAGTTCCTTTATAGACGAATAAACTTCATCGATGCGCTTCGACTTGCTGAAGTATGATCCGTCGATCTTTTTTGAAAATGATTTGTGGAATCCCTCGGAAGGATAGGTTTTGCCATACTTCTTGGAAAGCTTCATTAGCCCTGTATAGTTGAGCTCTCTGAATCTCTTGATGCCGATGACTGCATGGAGAAACTCCTGTATGTTCTTTTCTCGCTTTCGTCTTTCAAGCTGCTTTGGGATTTTGAATATGCCTCCGAATCTTTTCTCGGTGTCTTTCTGTGGAGCATACTTGCATTCCAAATCATCCTCGTCCGTCATTGGATTTTCATCGGTACTTTGACTTATGGCCAGCTTGCCGCCCAAATTAACATTTCTTGCCTTATGTGTGTCGCTTAGAAACGTATGCTTTGCATTCTTGCTTACTATGTGTGCATCGCCGTTCTGCGAGATGCCCTCTGCGAGGTTTATGCTCACGTCAGCAAATATATCGTTCTTCTCGGCAACAGCCTGTTTTTCAAGCATAAAAAAGAAGTCGTTTATTGCTGCCAAGTTCTTTTCTATTCCCACCTTGAATCCGTTCTTGTTTCCGGTTATCATAGGCTTTAGAATGTCGTATGAAACATAGCTTTCTTTCCACTCATCCACTTGGTTTGCCCTCAAAGTGCTTGAAAACCGCATCCTTGTATGGGTGATGTACATTTGACAATCGAAAGCAGCATTGAGGAAATTGAAAGCGAATTCAAAAGGATGCATCAGCTTATCAAGACAATGGTGAGGCAGTATTCAAAGATCAACAGGTTCTTGGAGCATCAAGAAGATGTGCTGGACAGAAGCAGACACAATTAAATGTTAGGTTCTACTCATTGATGTTTTGCATAAACTTAACCCGCTTATTATAGAGCCGTGTGTACAATACCCTAAACGATGATAGATGGTGCATGCGGCCCGACAATACATACTGAGAGGCCAGAAAGCACAGGTGCACACGAAGGAGTGCCTAACAATGATTGCATGAAAATCACCGAAAGCTCAACCATCATATTCAAAGACGAGCATACATTCTTCAACCCTGCGCAAAAGCTCAATCGAGATATGTCCGTAGAGCTTATAAGAGAATGCTTCAGGGATAAGGAAAGCTTTAGAGTCTTGGATGCAATGTCAGCAACCGGGCTGAGGGGAATAAGGTATTTGAACGAGATACACAATTCTGTGGTTTACATGAATGATATTTCAGAGTGCTCAGTGTCTGCAATTAGGCAGAATCTTGAGCTGAACGGATTTACCGAGGTTGAATCTTTTATGTCTGATATACAGCATATCCGAGCAAGAAAGACATCGAGAGCAAATATTGTGAAGGCAGACTGTAACTCACTTATGGCATTATTGCCATGCTTTTTTGATGTGATTGACATAGATCCGTTTGGAAGCTGCTCTGAATATATTGACAATGCAATCAGGTCGATCAAGCACAAGGGAGTGTTGTGCTTGACAGCAACAGACAAGGGCGTGCTATGCTCGAATGAGAAGAAATGCCAGATCAAGTACTCGACAAGGATTCTTAGAGGAGTTGGCATGAATGAGATTCCATTGAGGACGATTGTTTCGTTGGTATCGAGACAGGCGTCTAAATTTGGTTCGAGTGTTGAGCCATTGCTTTCTGTAAGTGTTGATTTCTATGTCAGGGTGTTTGTCAGGATTTTGAAGAGGAATCCCAGGGCAGTGATTGATGACAATCGGTATGTTTTTGTCTGTAGATGCCAAGGCACAGCAGTGATTGATGGGGATGAGATTTCAAGCACATGCAGCAATTGTGGGAAGAGTATGAGGCTATGTGGGCCGTTTTGGAAAGGGCAGTTACACGATGCAGACATTGTTCAGAAAATGCTTGAGAGTGTAAGCCATGGTGAGAATAAAAGGCTGTTGGGACTACTGAGATATATAAAGCAGGAGGCGCCTACTATGCTATACTACGAGTTGCCCTCGCTGTGCTCCAACCTGAAAATCAACACGATGAAGCGTGCAAAGATGATGAATGCATTGGCAAACATGGGGTATTTGGTGTCCTACACACACTGCGAGGTAAATGCAATCAAGAGCAATGCACCTGTTGAAGTGGTTAACAAGATTTTGCTAGCGAATGAGTTGGGAGATGCCGACAAGCAGAGGCAGATGGGAGTGTGTTTTGATGAAAACGAATGTGTCAGAACAATCGAGGAGACTGAGTTTTTCAAGGGAATGATGTGCTCGGGAATGGGGCCTCTTGGCCTTCCGAAAAGAAATACAAAAAATTGCTGAGTGTGGATTATACATCCTGCGGTTCTGAATGTACTGGCTAGTCCAGTATATGATATGATATCCTGTGATGGATGGATGCTATGAGATTCAGTGCAGTAACTGAATAACACGAGCCAAGCAAATACCCCAGCCATGGAAAGAAGGTTTTGCAGTATATTGAAGGAAAGGACAGGGATAGAGAAGCTTACTGAGAAGCAGATTGAGGAGATACGAGGCTTGGTGAATAAATCTCATGAGTGGGAGACAATGAAGATAAGAGAATGCGGAGGCCTTGTTGAGATGGCTGTAGAGGAGTATGATATGCTGTGGGATGTGAATTCATATACACTGACAGATGCGGAAAAGGAAAATCTGAAGGGACTGGATCAAAAGACGATATTCAATAATATGCTGTGGCTATTCCACAACACAAGCAAGATTGATCAAAGCATGAAGCGGCCACTGGGGATGCATGTGTGGGTGATTAACCACTGGGTCAAAACTGTAGGGTCAGCAACTGTCAGAAAGTTCCTAAGGGAAAATGGATATGGCGGCGACTTTGTGTATTTTCTGTATAAATACTTTGATCTTTAGAAATCGGCATATGGATGCTTGAAGCTATTTATTATGCATGCTATTTACTATCTGGTATAGCAAGACGTATCATCAGCAACTCTAATAAAATCAATGATGAAGCTTACGAACTCGGTCTTTGGGCCCTTAATGAGCTGAAAAATGCATTTGGTAAATAGCATACCTTGTGCAATCTCGATGGATATTTTAAGCCCTGCATCATGGCTGATTGTGTATTTTGACTGCCCTTTGAGAGCAATTGCCTTGTATTTCTGCAAGACCTGCTCAATTAATGCTTTGGATTGTTCAATGCCAATGATCAGATCTCTTTCGACAGCATGTATCTTTGTGCTCCATATAAATGGAATGCACCCTCTCCTTGATGAGACCATGCTATACAGAATCTTGTTTTTTTCAATGCTTGCATGATGCATCTCCTGCTCCTGTAGGGATTTTGGGCCTTGTGATGTGTCGATTCTGATGATGCCTAGGAACTGTACATCGCTTTGCATTGCTTTTCTGTCAAATGTGAATGGATTTTGTTTTAGCAAGCAATATATTGAGGTTTCTATAGACTCTCTGTTGCCTAGTGCCCTGTATACATGATCTCTATCAAATCCTATCGCAATCATTTTCTCAATGATGCTTTTATCAATAAACATGATGCCTCTCTTATACTTTTTCTTCTTAATGCCCAGCCATGGATGATCCATCATTTGATCCATGGCTATACGTAATGACCTGCTTGGCTGTATGGCTCGCTTTATCAGGTCTTTAAGCTCATACGACAATGACTCATCGATCTTCAGCCTTGAGCTCAGGATATGTGTATTGATGGCCCTACTGCCATACTCTTCGAACGGCAATTTTCCATGCACCATTGCATAGAGAATCATGCCTAGACACCATATGTCCACCTCTGGGCCAATATATGGCACGCCGTTTATGATTTCTGGTGCTGCACATTGTGGGGTTCCGCAGAAGTCACTCAGCAGCGACTCTGTGCTGTAGAACGATGAAAGACCAAAGTCGCATATCTTGATTGTCCCGTTGGCAACAATCACATTCTCCAATTTCAGGTCTCTATGGATAATTGAATGGCTGTGCAGATAGTCAACAGCATGCACCATTTGAATGAAAAGATGCTTTGCATGTCTCTCATCAAGCCTTCCATGTATTCTAAGAAACTTGTAAAGGTCAAGACCGTCAGCAAGCTCGATTACGAGTACGGATGCATTCTTTATACCGAAGCACCCGTAGAGTCTGCATATGTTTTTATGGCTGAGCAATGACTGCACATATGGCTCGATGTCTGAACGCATCCCTGTGGCTGTATTTCTAACCATCTTGATTGCAACATTTGTGCCTGTGATGCTATCTACGGCAGAAAAAACATCGCCATAGCTTCCTGTACCTATTTGACCTGTGATTTTGAAGTTAAGCAGTCTTTTTGGCAGATTCATAGTATGTTGACCATGCATCAAACGATATCAAGCACGGGTTTCAAGATGAGCCATAGCGCTGCAGCATAGCAATCGAAATGCCTGTGGCAGATCATGCGCCTTAAACATAAACCAGCAAATAAAATAGTGGCCTTTGAGACTTAAGTATCAGAATAGAAAACAATATAATACATGTTTTTGCGGATTGCATGATGTTGTTTCTGTACTTCATGCTCGCATATGCCCAGATCGATGAGCTAGGCTATCTCTACTCAGTAGGCAGGAACCGGTTCATCACCGTCAAGCAAGACACGCATGGCACTGTATTTATAATGGGAGCACATAAAAGTGAAAGGCCATCTGCAATCAAAATCAGTAAGGAAACAGATAAGGGGCGCGGAGGATTAATTATATACGCAAACGACAAAGACACTGCAAAGTACGGGCTTACAAACAAAGTGGCCGATCTTGACTATCATAACGGCCACTTGTACTTCTATCCCAAGCACATGAAATGGAATCAACTTGCAAGGTTTGTTTTACAACCCGGGAACCAGATCAAGATTATGTTTGGAGACCATAGCTGCCTGTTTATGGCCGAAGACTATAAGCTGAAAGGCGAAAGCTGCCGGAATGATGGCGATGACAAGTTCCAACTATTCACTTGGTATCCTCAGCGTCACTTTAGTACGTCTCGGCTTCGTAGCATTCTGAGGAACGGGCCATCAGATCCTGACTACTATACCTCGAATGGCCACAATACTCGCCCAAGCGAATCGCCTTTAGACGAGAGTAACAGAAGGCCGTTTTTCAAAGGTTCAGACTCCAGATCGGCATTTTCTGATAGTGAGTTCAGTAGCGATAGTGGATACGGCAACGACAGAACGGGTTGCGATAACAACCCGCTTTTGCTGCTTGGAATGGGATCATTCGATGACAGAGACAAAAAGAAGTCGAAACGGTATGACAGCTTCAAACCTTCTGCAAGTGATAGCAAACATAGGAAAATCACAAATGACGACTCTAGTAGCAATGACAAGTATTATAAAAGCTCAAGAAAGATGCACAGTAAGAAAGTAGCACACTACAATAGCATGTTTGATGATAGTGGATATGCTTATCCAAAGAAGTGCAATCGTCATAACAGAGGAATTAGTGCGCCAAGTACAAGCAATCTGAGCTTGAGGCATGCAAACAACAGCATCTGTTCTATTCAGAAAATACTTTTCCAGCCATTCAATGGCGACATCTGCAATACAGTAGAAAGTTACAACAACATCAGGAAGATAAAGAGGTATGCATATAAAAACACAGATTCAGATAGCTCTGAAAGTGATTGCGATAATGATGTTGACAGAATTTGGGATTCTATTCAGGATATCAAGGTATCATCTGGGATATCTGTATAGGAATAAAGTGTAGCGTGTAATCTAACAAGCCTTGAATTGCTGTGTACTTGAGGGCATGCACATGCTCTGCTAATGATGATTGGATCTTGCTATTAGCAATGATGTGTACAGTAAAAGGCCTGCAACTGATTGGCATTGGAAGCAAAAGGGGAAATGCCGAAGATTAATAAGATCGGAGCATCTGCACAGCATGGAGATATGGAAACCAGTAAACCAGATAATAAGAATAGCAGAATCTGTTGTGATTACCTTGGTAACTATGCTATACATTCTTGGCTGCTATGATGCAGTAGTGGCATCGGGGATATCTGTAAGGCTGTACTTCCTGACAACATCTTTCTATTACTACATTACCTGCCTAGTAAAATCGCCTGGACAGCTTCTAGACTTTGGGACTGCAAATGTAAAAGGAATATGTAAGAAGTGCAACAGGATAGTTGGAACAAGGACAGTGCATTGCGAGATATGCAATAAGTGCTACCACAAACGAGATCATCACTGCCCAATAATAGGCAGATGTGTTGCATCAAACAACACCAATGACCTGTATCTCACGATTGTTTTTGCAAATCTTTACTCATTTGCTATGCTATTTGAAAGCTCGCCGCATGCTCTCATGGCATTTGTTCACAAGTACTTGTTTGTTATTTCTGGATGGTTTGTGTTTTGGTTTACACTGCTGATCGTTACCGACAAAACAACACAGGAGCTTTTGAGGCGACGAGGCAGAGTCCTGAAAGACTTCAGGGTGCGTAGGCTGAAAGATTTGTTCCGTGCTGGACTTTTGCAAACTCTGGTTCCGTATCTTGCACACAGGATTTCAGTGGTGAACGATGGATGATGAGCAGCATACAAGCCGTTGGCTGATGATATTTATGCTGATGTACCAAGAAATACATTTTCATCGATAGCAGAGCATCACCACAGGCTTGATGTATCGAAATAAACTGATTAAAAACACTCAAAACATACTTGATAATAACGCTTTATTTAGCTTGCCTGTGTGAAATTGCTACCACGCTAGGCTGTGCATGTGCTCATTTTTTTTGGCTTTGACTAGGTGCTCCTGTGATTCTGCTTGCATTTGCGATTCTGTTTGCGTGATTCTTCTCGATATTTCGTTTCCTCTGCTTTCTGAGCGATGACACTGTCTTTTCACTGTCCATCAGCCCAGACTTCAAAATGCGGTTCTTCTTGCTATACGGCCCATATCGCGGTATGTACTCTCCAATCTCCTCGTCATAGACAAGCCCACTCCTGCTCTTCTTCTTTATTCCTTTGCTCCTTGCAAACTTCTGCCACTTCGTCTCAACATGCGACTTCAGATACTCCCTTGGAAACATCAGCTGAGGCTCCGGTAGGATATGCACAAGATCTCCGTCCTTCCGGATTGATGCGCACGACCTAATCTCCTTCGCCATCTTTCTAAGCAGTTCCTTTGTCTGCTTATCCACATCCGCATGCTTCAGCTCCTGGTTGCTTATCACAGTCAAAAACTTCAAATGGTTCATCCTCGGGGCTATTCTCAAGCAATTCTTGCATATGCATCAGACACTACTGAACGACAAAAAGATGGTCCATGGCACTTCTTCTATTCTGAATGATGCATTCTGCAATCCAAAGGATGTTTTTTATTTCCTGCTCCTTGATGCGGAAGTATGCATAAAGACAGCTCAGATCACCATACATGCTGAAAGACTCATGGTACCTAAGAAGCTCCGCTCTTATCAACACGTTCGAAATGTCCGTGTCGAAGTTGTATCGTTCTGCAAGGATGTTTTTTATGTCATCGATGCACTCGGCTGTCGACAGCTGCTCCCTCATCCACAGATCCATCGAGTGAATGGCCGGAAAAAGATCCATACGCTTTTTCCCAATTATATCTTTTGAGCCAAGCGTGTTGACTGTGATTTCTATTATCTGCCTATCACCTTCCAGCTTAAGGATGCTTTTCATATGCTCCATATCTGCAGTAAGGCTTCTGTATGTCTCCTCAATGTGTATCTTGAAGAACAGTGTCTGCAGTACCTGGAAGTCGTTGTCTACAAACTCTTTCTTGAACTTTACCCTGCCCCCATACTTCTTCAGAAAGCTGTTTTCCATGCAATACTTCTGCACATCGTCCATGTCGCTCGAAAACTTGATTGTTCGTAATGCACCAAAGTCTCCCATTTCAATCTTTTCGAAGCTCTTGTCAAGGTTTGGGTCCTGCTGCTTGCATTGTAGTAAATAGAAGAAGTTCTGGATCTTGTGAAAATCCATGTAGTAGTCAAGTATCATTCTGATGCCATGATCGTCTGCTCCGTAATAGTAGTCGAAGTCTGTCTTGAGTGTCTCGAGCAGCCGTTTTTTGATCTCAGGCTTCGTGTATATGCCGCCCTCAGACAGCCTAGGATACTTTCTTGTCAATTTGATTGCCACTTCCTCGAGGCTTTCACATCTTTTGAGTGCATTATAGTCTTCCTCTTTCAAGATGTCCTCCTTCTTGCCATTTATTTCCGATATGATGAATCCGTATTTCTTTGCGTTTTCAAATTGTTTTTCCATGAGTCTGGCCATGCAACAAAATAAATAGTGGCATGTGCTTGGGAGCTGATGGAAGAGGAAATTGCGCAAATCGTGGAGAAGTTACTTGAGCAGATAAGTTATGAGATGCATGGCAACAAAGTGTATTCAATTGCAGATAAGAACGGCATTGGAGTGAACAAACAGATATTGAGGGCTAAGCTGCTATCTGGCGACAGGAATGCTACACATACGGAAGTCAGGATAAAAGTTGGAGTAAGCGAGCGCAGCAATGGTTTGTGCAATCGAAGCCCACTTGATCATACAGAGAAAGGCATTATGATTTTTGAATACAACAATATGTTTGTGGAAGTGAGTATTGATGTAGAGAACGAGCCAGTATATATGTATGGAGAGTACATAAAGATGAGCAGAAGCATGACGCAAACGCCTTTGCATATTGGAAAAGCACTTAAGTGCAACAGGAGTGTATCTGACTTCTGCAGGCAGCTTCAGGAGTTTTTTTGTGCTGATAACGTCAAGTTTGTGCCAGCAGGCAGAGAGGACATGGATGTGCAGATGATTGAAGGCAGGCCGTTTCTGCTTGTAGTGATGAATCCCAAGAAAAGCTTGATGTTTCGAGATCTAGAGCTGGCTCTGTATAAGGAGGTGGACATTATCAACCTTAAGGTTGTAAGGAAGGAATGCAAAGATGCAATATTCAGCGGAGAGGTGTCGTCGAAGAAGACATATTCGTTGTTTGTTTGCAGTAAGCACCCAATAGATATACAGAAGCACTATGATGTTGAGCAAATGACACCACTGAGAGTGATGCATCGCAGGGCAAACATGACCCGTGAAAAGAAAATAGATATTTTGACATGGAAAAGCATGGAGGCGAAAGGGTTGATGTATTATCAGATAGTTCTTGAGGCAAGTGCAGGAGCATACATCAAGGAGTTTGTGAATGGAGACTTTGGACGAACCAGGCCATCTCTGGGTGGCTCAAGCTATTGTGACTTGCTTGAGCTTGATGTGATAAGGGTTGAAAAGCATGACATAGAGAAGTTTGTGGAGAGAAATGTCTGCCTCAAAGTAGTAAGAGAGTAGAGGGTTGAGCATGGAGGCATACTGAAATATGGATGTTTGTGAATGCTTAGATGCAGAGTATTGATGCACTGTTTGTATAGGCCGGTTTGCTGGAAGATAATATGATGCTTTTGTGAGAGAGCCAGCGGATGATGAAATGATATTTTGAATAAAATGTAACCGTGGAATGTCAGATGAGTTTAAGACGGGCTTGGATGCGGATAGAAAAGAAGGAAGTGTGAAGAGAAGGACGCTGTCTATGAAGATGGATGATAAGGGAGTTAGGATGAATCCGCACTACAAGAGGAACGAGGAAGTGTCTGTGATGGGCAAAAGCGTTGAAAGCGAAGGAGCAAGCGGGATGCTGAGGCAAGCAATAGATAGAGGAGATTTGTCGTATATAAGTGAGTTTTTAGCAAATAAGAACAGGAAGGAGATGATGGAGAGGCTGTCTGGAAGTAGCAAGGAGGCTCTTGGAGTGCTGCTGCTTGAGTTTGTTGATCAGCCGCTGCGCAGCGAGGCGCTTGAGATGATCAGAGAGATGGTTTCAAGCATCAAGGATGTGGAGATGTTCATAAAGAAGCTGAAGAGTAGGATGTGTGACTTTTCGAAGCTGATATACCTGAAAGGAAAGATAGATTACCTGAGGTTTACTAGCATGGCTGAGGAGGAAGATGAGCCTGAAGCAGTTGTTTCAGGATGATGATGACGATGGAAATGAGACTGTATGAGACCTAATCATGATGTGAGGCAGTTGTATGATGATGCGATTGGATAGTGATGTAACAGAATAAGTATAAATAGCCTGAATGCACACACAGTAAAATGGCCGATGATGCATCTACAGCAGGTTCAACTGATGAAACCCAGAAGAAGGTCTTTATGTCCATAGGAGCAGTTATTGTGACGTTAATTCTGTTTGCTTCGATAATCTACTATGGGAACAATCATGAATGGTGGTCTGATGAGGGAGAGGGAGCATCAGGCGAATCACCTAGCAACGGAAAGAAGGGAGGATATGCGGCGCCTCCGTCCAAGGACAATGCTTCTGAAGAAGGCAAATGAATTTCCGAAAGTATGTTAATGTCAATAAAATGGTTTGACGAGAAGTGGTAGTTTTATTGTTGAATGCTATCTGATGAGATGCCGAGCTTGAGGCTGTTGAATGGGGGGATTTGGAATTTTACCTTTGTCGATATCCTTTGCCTAGAGAATCTGTCTTCTACAGAGAACTTTGCAGGATGAGCATTGCATGAACCTTCTTCGTTAAGAGTGTATACTCTTTGACCGTCTACGACTCTATAGAACAGCATTATGGGTTTGGAGAACGGTGTGTTTATGCATGCCCCTGCATATGACAGATGGAGCATTGCCGAATTTGTTTCTGATTGGGCTTATACTTGACAGTGTGGAGAAGCGGGCATTTGTTAACCAGACTGTGATTTTGCCGATGAAGGCAAGAAGGATTCTGAATGCTCTGAAGAGCTGCGAGGAATCAAAAATATTTCTGAGCAGGGTTACAAAGAGAGAAGCGCCTGATTATTACGAAGTGATAAAGAGGCCAATGGACTTGAGCATTGTGCAGAAGAAGATTGGAAAATACAACACCTTTGAAGAGTTTAAGGACGACCTGGACTTGATATGGAGCAACTGTCTTGAGTACAACCAGGCAAAGTATTATCGGGAGTGTGCATTGAAGATGGCGGATGTGGTGTCTTCGTTTGAGATTGATGTGAAGGCAGTGCCTATTGATGAGGAGATTCTAGAGATACAAACTGTTAGTGAAGGGAAAGTCATTGGTGGAATTGTTGCAGATTGTGAGGTTTTAAACATGGTTTGCAAGATTATTATGTCGGTAGGATATTGCTCTGCATCGAAGATAGCGTTGAAGGTGTTTTGTGATGTTGTAAAGCATAAGATCTCGAAGATTGTGAGGGAGCAGATGCAAAAGCAGAGCATGTTTGTGTAGATGTGTGCTAATGATTGAGAATGAGCAGATAAGCTATGCATTTGAATGATTGTTAGTAGCTAGGCTAGAAGACTTCGAGAATAGATAAGGGACATGAACATAGTGAGCATGTGCTATGAAACATATAAGTGCATACAGGCATAATGCAGATACCTATGGCCTGAACGGAACTGCTAATGGATTGCAAATGTTGATGAAGTGAGGGATGTGTATTTTAAGTGTAAAAATTTATCCCTTGAAATGGGAAGAAGGCCAGGAAGATGCTACAGGTACTTGTCTAAGAAGGCGTACCCGAAGTCCAGATTCAACAGAGGAGTTCCTGACTCGAAGATACAGATTTTTGATCTTGGGAGGAGGAAGGCAGGAGTGTTTGAGTTTCCACTGATGATTGAGTGTGTGTCGAACGAGAATGAAAACATATCTGCGGAGGCGCTGGAGGCAGCACGTATCTGTGCAAACAAGTACATGGTAAAGCATGCAGGGAAAGACAACTTCCATATGCGTGTGAGGGTGTATCCGCTGCATGTGCTGAGGATCAACAAGATGTTGAGCTGTGCAGGGGCAGATAGACTGCAGACGGGAATGCGAGGGTCGTTTGGAAAGCCATATGGCAGAGCAGCAAGAGTGTTTGGAGGACAGCCACTTATAAGCATCAGGACGAAGGAGGGAAACCAGAGTATTGCAGCAGAGGCATTGAGAAGGGCAAAGAACAAGTTTCCTGGGAAGCAAAGCATCCGTGTAAGCTCTAAGTTTGGGTTTACGAACATAATCAGCGACGAGTTCAATGCTCTGAGGGAGCAGAACAGGATTATTGCGAAGGGAGACATGTTTTTTGTGCTGAGGGAGAAGGGAAGCATTGAGAAGTTCAAGAAGAACCTTGAGAAGACTGCCAATTAAAATTATGGTGATTTGTGATGTATTTGTTGTGTATGAAAAGGAATGGAAAGGCAAGCCCATGAATTTTGGCAATGAGAAGCCTATGACGCTGTTTTCGAGTGAGGGGAATCTTGGGCAGTGCGACAATGCACTACGAGCAGCAATAAACGGCAGCCTGTCGATTGGTGCATGCGCAGATGATGGATGTGTGATTGTGTCGTTCAGGGATGTAACGCCGCTTGTAGTGAAGAAGGAGGTTCGGAAGGTGTTTAGGATATGTGATACGATAGGATGTACATATTCTGGGCTCCAGCCTGATTGTAGAATACAGGTTGGGATTGGGTGTGAGATTGCAGAGGACTACTATGATGTTTATGGGCGGTATCCTGATGTGGATGTGTTTGTTGCACATTTTTCATCTGTTGTGCAGGAGTATACGCAAAAGGGAGGATACAGGCCATTTGGAACGCTGATGATATTTGTAGGGCCGGTGAAGGGTGTTCCGAAGGTCTACCAGGTCGATCCGAGCGGATCATACCAGACCAAGGATGTGTGTGCATCAGGCTTTGGATATGCAGAGGCAAAGAAGTTTGTAAGCCGAAGGCTGGAAGGCTTGGATGACAATGTGGTGAGCTGTGTCTGCTCGATAAGGGAGTATGTAGGGAAGGAAGTCAAAGCCGAGGATGTTGACATTGGGGTGTATATGAAAGCCCAGAATGTATTTAAAATATATGGAGAGGAGGAGGTTAAGGAGGTGTTTGACTCGCTCAGTAGGGACTGAGTGTGCAGAAAGTAAATTCTTGATGTTTTTTGTTTTGGGTTGGTGATCCTGGTGATGGCTAACAATGATTTTGTGATTGTGGAAGAAGTTGAGAGACTGATAAAGAAATCAGAGTACAGCAAAGCACTGGAGATGATTGATGGAGAGCCAAAAGGCCGATGGTATTGGGTGAATGTGTGCCCATACAAAGGATGCATACTGTATCATCAGGGCAAGTATGAGGAGTCTGTTGCATTTTTGGATGATCTTATACAGAGATATCCTGAAAGTACTGTAGCAAAGAGGTTTCTGTACAAAGGACTCATGAAGAATAATAGATTCAGGCAATCCTTTGATGTTGCAAAACAATGCTGGAAAGAAGGAGACCACAGGAGATCTACGCTTATTTGGATCTTGGCGTATTCTTTTGTGTTCCAAGAGTATGATATGCTGAATGTGCTATACATGGACATAGACGATCAGCTGCTGCTTTCGATTGGATATATGTGTGCAGGCCGATTTGAATGTGCAGTTGATTTAATGAACCAGGTTTCAGGGCATGAGGAGGCAAAATGCTATCTTGATGCATTTCTTTCGATTTGCACCAAGTCTATGTGGATGTTGGACTATGTAGGATACATAGATGAGGATGTGATGATCAGACAGATAAGCATGCATGAGAATATAAATGTATTGTTTAGTAAGGTGATAAGACAGGGATGCGAGTATGTAGATGCAAAGGTATTATACATAGCAAAGCAAACGTTGAGCAAAGAAGAGTATGCGCTGTTTGAAACAAGATTCAGATCATTGGACATAATACGCATGCATACCTGCAGCAAGAAATGTTTGATACGAAAGCTACGAATGAGGCATGAAGAAACAATGCACCATAAAAAAAGAAAGCCTGGCGCCTTGGATGTGCATGCAACGCCACACAATGTCTCTGGGCAAGTAAGTGGCAACAAGCATCAAGAAAGGTATTTTGAACTGAACAGTGCTCTTGATTCATTGATTAGTAATTGCTATAAGGGAGTCATGGAAATCAAAAGCATTTATACCACAGATAGTTGTGCAGACATTGGTGAGTATTTGAAAGAAAGACAAAACTTTTTTGTGTTGAATAAGATACAGAATGCATATTCGCTGAACAGCAATGCCAGAGAGTCGTCTAGGTATGCGTTTCTGATAAAGTGTGTTTACCTGAACTACTTCAAAGATACTTTTGAGTATTTGCTGAAGCAGATCGATGGAGGAGCGGTTGGTGTTGTCATAGAAATGCTGAACAGTAGAATGTTTCGGCACTTAGCTGATTATTGCAGCATAGATGCATGATAATAAATGCAGAACAATATACAAACAGCATTCAATGATAATGATGGATTGCAGATACTTTATACAATTGCATATCAGATATTGCACTGCCTCACACCTGCTTTTTGAGTAGAATGGAAGGAATAGGCATTTCATCAACAATCAAATGGCATATATACCTGGCAAAGCTCTCGCTGATGCATTCGTTATTAATGAAGCTCTCTATAGCATCATCGCTCGTGTATTTAAGCCTTTCAATCCTGTGGTAGTATTCCATCATTGATGAAAGATGAACCCATTTGTCTGATTGTGCCAGGTTCTTATCAAACTTGCTTAAGTAGAATGAAAGAATTGGATGCATGTATACAAGGTACGAAAACAATGCATGCACTGCAGGCCGTGGTCCTTGGTCAATTGATATATACTCAATGCATGCATCATGGAACTTAGTTATAAACCCTCCTTTGATGAGCAAGGAAAACTTTGCTACATCTTTGATCGCAGTAGTAAAAAACACAGTAAGAGGCGTTAGAACAAGGCTGCAGCATGGATGTGCAAAAAACATATCAATAAAAGCTTGGTATTCATCTGTTCGGAAAATCTCATCCATCACGGTATCTAACTGTCCTACCATCAATCTTATGTACAAAACAGTTTTTACATCAACTTTTGTGAATTCCACAGGCTTAAGCTTTGGGCATCTTCTTGAACAGTTCAGAATCTCAAGTATGTCATATATCTGCTTGTATTCAAAGTATGAGTCCTCTTCTAGAAGTGCACTGACAAGTCTCTCCCCAATCATGTTTATCTCTTCGCACATGAAATCATCGTCATCACTGGACACCGATCCGCTGTCATTATCCATCCAATCGGTAAGAAGCAGCATCTTCAATGCATCATAGGATCTTCTCTCGATCATTACTGTGGTTGGGCGTGCTTCCTTCAACACCTTCATCAGCTTCTGCATACTGAAGCCTTTCAGCTTCAGCAATGTACCAAAAAACTCCAGCCCAGGCTCAAAGTCAAGAAAATGCAGAACAGACTTCAGGAAGCACACATCAAGAGCATCCACCATATAATGCGGATGATTCTTGAAGTGGAAATTCAAAACCTCGAAAAAATGCCTAAAAACGCTCTCCATGCTGTTGAATACAAGATACTCGCTATTCTCTTCTCCATCATTTTCTTTTGCTTCAAACTTACGAAGAGATTCATGCAGACTGATCATCTCCTCATCAGAATTGCACACATTCGAGTCGCGACCAATCACCCCAAACATGTGTAGCCGGCTTTCAAGCATCCATTCATCTTTGCTCATTGGAAATGCACATGCATTACAAGCATCGCCCCGATCGTCTATTTCCAGTGCATATAATCTATCTGCAATGCCATTTGCATCAGATTTAGCCAGTGCATCATCCATCGAATTAGATCCATTATACCGTATTATCTTCATAAACATCCCTATCCTGTTATGGAACTCAAAGTTGAATTGCCCATTGTCCGTGCACAGATATTCACTTATTGTTGCAATGTCTTTAAAGTAGCAAAAATTCATCACCATGTAGTCAATATGCTGCACCATATAGTTTGTTATCACACTTCTATTAAGCTTGAACGATATCAAATTATTCCTTGCAATCGCATGGAACTTCTTCTGATTCACCTGCCATTCTTTATGTTCACTTCCTTCCATTTCCTCAATTTATATGGGCTTTACTATATTGAAGTCATTCTTTCACCGCTTCTAATTGCCTGATGGCGTCCTAACAGATTTCCTCATCATCTGGATCCTCATTCCTAACAACAATGTATCTCACATCCTCACTATCACATATTTTCTTGAACGCCGGGAAATAATTGCTTCGCAGCACTACATGAGCATCACACACTTCCCCATTCTCATCTACAAACCTCTTGAGGTTGCTGTTGTTCAGATCAACTGCAATCCTCATCCCCACTCTGCCGTATCCAAGTCGTTCCAACTTTGCAACCACTTCCTGTGCTTGCTTCTTACTGTCTCCAATATGCACATTGTGCACCCTGCTCATTGCATCTCTCAATGCATTCATGCTCACATGCTTTCCATCCTTTGTAACCTTTCTTCTCACAATCTCAAGGATCTCTCGCTCTGTTCTTTCTTGCTCATATATCCTTGTTGCCTCATTCTTCTGCTCATGCCCGTTGTCCAGTATCTCCTTCACTATCTCATCATGAGGCTTGCCAAACATGCTCAGATCATCCTGCCCTGCAATCTCTCCCTTCGAAACATTCCTGTATACTGTGGAAGTCTGCAGAATCTCGTTTGTGCATGCCGTTATTCCGTTCCTGTACTCATAAAGCTTGTTTGGATACACTGCAAGCTCATATCTTCGTCCATACTTCCTCAGAGCAATTACACAAACATTCACAAGCTTCTTCTGATTCTGCGGAGTAAACATCTTCAGGGGCATTCGCACAATCGCTTCTATTCCTCCTCTACACTTCTATCCCTTCGACTCATCACAAACACCATAATCTGTTTATTAACATTCATCTTTGCTTCAATGCATTCATAAAAACATGTCTGCAACCTCTAGAGCACTCAGCCGCTTTTTGTAGTTCATATCAAGCATCATCTTGCACACCCTATCAATCTTGATTCCACGGAAGTCGTTCCTTCGCAGCCTCATCCAGCTATCTCCACTTCTCGGAAGGATAATCTCCGCAAGCACCTCTAGGTAAATCATCCCAAGACTATACACATCACTCGCCTTGGTGCATACATCCTGGAGCACCTCCGGCGCCATGTATCTCTTGTCGCCGTCATCATCAATGTCCTCTCCCTCATACCTGCTGATGTTGAAGTCAGAAATCTTGAAAACAAATACGCTCGGATCCACTGGAAACTCACATATGCATCTGCCCTCGCAAGCATCTCCAGGCAGCACACTCTTCACCAGCACATTCTCAGGCTTCAGGTCAAGATGCACTATCCCACACTCATGAATCGTATTCAACCCATTTGCCAGCTCATACATCATTTTCTTCACTATCTCCCCAGAAAACCTCGACTTCTTCAGAAAATACACCTCGTGGATGTAATCTCTCAACGTCCCAATACTGCAATACTCAAGCTCTATAAACAGATGCCCTCCACTTTCCCATGCATCATGATACTTCACCACATACTCAGACCTTATCTTTCGCAGCATCTCCACCTCCTTCATCCTGTTCTTTCTATCAAGCCCTCCAGACACTCTCTTCTTGCTCTTCTTCACAACAGTGTAATCGATGTCATAAATGCACAGCTTTCTATTCTTTGAAACCATCACAAGCTCATCCTCATCTCCATCATTTCTGCTTTCTCCCTTCTTATTCACAAACACCTCATAAAACGCACCTTCGCCAGTTTTGCATATAAAGTTGCATGCTCCGTCTTTTCTACATTCAACATCGGTATCCATGTCGGCTTGCAAAAATCCGTCGCTGAACACCGAGTCTTCTCCAATCGTCGACGACTCTTTGCCATCGATCGCATGCGGCACTGACTGTATAGACACCTGCGCCAACGGAATAGGCGACACAAGCATGTGCTTGTATGCTATCTTCTTCGACGGTGTCTTTGGTGAGCTGAACATTGCTTCCTCCCGATCACGCTTCAGCATGTATATCTTCTTCAAATGGCTCATCTCAGCGTCAGTATAGGGCTTTGGCTCATTCATAATTCTTCCCCTTGCATTACGAACACTCTCAGCACCCAAATATAAATATGCATAAAACTCACAAATAAATTTAATATCTACTTACTAGACCTTCTATAACTGTAAGGCACTTTTCCATACTCAAAGTCCTCCTCAATAAACTCAGAATCATCTTGCTTTCCATTATGCACATGCATGCCTCCATGTGTCGCACCGTTGCTTCCCCAGCCATGCACTCCCATCCGGTGCTCCTGCTCACCATGGCGCCCTCCAAACGACGACGGCACATCTTGCATATCAAATTCATCATGCCCCCCAACATTCTTCTTAGGAATCCCTTTGCCATATCCCCAAGGCATTTCCTTCTGCAAATAATCATTTCCTCTTACGTACGGTTCCTTCGTAAATCCTCTAGAGCTTTTATCCTCGTGCATGCTCATGCCAGCCTTATCTCCATACCTTGCATTCCTATTGAACATGCTTGCACTTCTATTAAACGTACTGCTTCCTCCTGCTTCAATCCCCTGCTGGCTATGCATCTGCTCCTTTCCTCTATACTCTCTATCATATGCAGAATGCGTCCCAAGCCCGCCCATTGCTGGCGAATTGCCTGTCCACCTCACTTCCCCTCTTCTTGCTTCTCCTTGCTTTCTCTGCCCACTCCGCATCTTCTCTTCTCGCATCTTTCCAATCATCCCTAGCACTCTATCCACATCAAACGGCGCCATAAACACATCGGGATTCATTCGCATGTCGACATATCTATTCGTTAGCGATTCAACCCTGGCTTCCGCCTCAAGAAAATCCATCTCCGAGCACAGCACCATATAATTGCCTATCCAAAAGTTGTCAAGCGTTTCCTTCATGTCCCCACACATCAACGCAAATCTGGCTTCCTCAGGCGATATCTCCGTCATGTCTAGGCCCCCATAACACGAATATATCCACTGAGGCGGATCAACCAAGCCACTGTATTGGACATGCTCGTACTTGCACTTCGCCCCATACTTGCACTTCCCCTCAAGAAAGAAACGACACACATTCCTCATCTCGGCTCTAGGTTACAGGGGTCTTGTTTTTCTTCCAAATACCTCTCCTTCCTCTCTCCCTCAAAAATCCATCATCTAGAGACAAACACTTTATTAATTTATATCAGATATAAAGCCATAGAAAACTCATCCACCTTCCCACACACTTCGTTCAGTCACTTTTCAGTGTGTCGCTGGCTTCTCCCTCAGCACCGTTGATGTACATGTCAATCTCCTCTACTACATGATCAGGAATAGTCCTCATGTCCACCTCAATCTCATCGTTCTCTACAAACTCTCCAGACCCATGCCTCAAAACTATCTTTGCTACCTCCTCGGTTTGATTCCTATTCATATTCAGTATTGCATTCCCAATACTCACTCGCTCACTCAGCGAGTACGTCTTCATGCTCGATCCTTCCCAGTCCTGCTCTGTCATCCTTGCTTCTAACATCTTGATTTCTCTAGTATATCCTGCTATCTTTTTCTTCAACTCCGCTATCTTCCCACGCACATCGTTCGGCATCACCCTTTGCATCTGCACTGCTATCTCCTTCTCAAACTCAACTCCGCACTCATAAACCTCCGTTCCTGGCGCATTGAACTTCTTGCAGTTCTCAACAATCAGCTCAAGATCGTTCTTAAACTCTTCAATTCCATGGTACTTCTTCTGCTCAAGCTTGCTATGTATAGTCTGCAGATCCATCGGTTCACTAATCACAGAGTAGTATCCAGGCACAAGCCCTTCGTCAACAGGCTCCAGAAACGGCCAGTTATACGCCTTGTGCTTTCCCTTCATCAGCTCCGCAATCACCTCATTGCACAGATCATACTCCTCCACTCTCATCCCCTCACTTACCCTTGCGCTTCTTTTCATATGTTTTGCCCTTCCTGTAGCCGGCACCTCACTCCTCTTCCTCTTCCTTCCCACCTCATTCGGCATCCCTGCCATCAGTTCATCATACATCCCCTCAAGCGCCTTTCCCATCTCGTGCACAACTGTCCCTGCCGGGTTATATACATAGCAGTTCTGGAACATCAGCCGCATATCTGCATCAAACTCCTTCACATGCTTGTACTCCTTCACATCCAGCTTCTTTCGTATCGTCGATAGATCCATCGGTTGCTTTATCTTCAGAGGATAATCCGGAATCCCCAGCTTCACAGGATCTACTGGCTCAAGAAACGGTGATGCATTCGCATTCCTCTTCATCCTCGTCAGCATCTGCGAACAGTACTTCAGCTGATGCTCCACTAGCCCGCTTTCCGCCCCACTCTCTAACGCCTCCATCCTCTACTAAGGGTTAAAAAATACCAAAAATATACCTAGCTTCCCCCTCTATTCAATCTAATGGCACGCTTATACTCACCAATAACTCTTTTATTCCCAATACCCCCATTTCTTAGGTTTCTACTCCAGCAATACTGTGTACCGTGATCTTTCATTCAATGCTTTGCATAACACTTCAGCACACTTCCAAAATCAATCAATTTACCCTTTTGTTATTATATCTAAGTATTGGACAATAATTGTGACAGGACTTGCATAAGTGAGTTTTGTCCGACTCCACCTGTATTACTCTTACTTGCAGTTTCATTATCATTGCTTGATTTTGCACTTGCTTCCTTAATTCCAAGCTCTAATACTGTTCTGGCTATGAATCCAAACGATGAGTATAGCGTTAGCAGAGATATAAACACCACCGGCAGAAACACCGTATTGCTACCTCCAGAAAATCGCAACGATGGCATCACATACTGCAATATTAGGATAATCTTGCCAATAATAAACGTGCTAAGCTGCCATCCAGAAAATGACTTCGATCCGTTCAAAATCAAATTACCTATAAAGGTCAGCGTGGAAATAACCAGGCCCAGCAATGCAAGCCTAAAAAGCGTGTCTCTGGCCTGTCCATTCCCTTCATAGACATTGCTGCCATATTCTTCATTCTCATTGCTCGCTGTTGTCGTAAGCAATGTCACTCCTGATGTATTCGAATACTTAATGGTATTGTCACTGAATTTCTTATAAAGCCCATAAAAGTGTATAACAAAGTTGTATATGGTAGATCCTATATTAAACATCGACCACCATCCTCCAAACGAAAAAAAAAGACAATTGATGCATCTATTCACGTCAAACTTCCCATAGCTGCCACGGTCTTTATTGAAGTCAAAAACCATAGAATATAAAAGCATGCCTAGTCCAAATGCACACAGGGCATTGCATACATACTCCAAAACCATATTCAATCTTATCTCAATGAACATGCAGTGGACTTCATCAAGCCAGTCTATAAATCTCATCACATAATTGTTTGTCGTGGTCTTGCTTATCTTTCTCACAATGCTGCATGTAGATATCTTATGGAACCCGTCCACCAGCCCAACAAGAATCATCATGATTGAGAAAAATCTGCACCCGTCACTGGCTATCACGTTAGATGACTTTTCATACATCAATATCCCAATAAGCATGTACTTGAAGTTCCCCAGTATGTCCAGAACATTCGATATCCAAATGCATATCTTCTCAATGATGATGTCCAGGTTGTGCCATATCTTAGAAATATTTTTCACTGTATCCATGTGGGTCAGCTGCTGTTGCGCTATTAATGTTTATTATCCGTCACCAAATAGGGACTGCCAAATTAGACAGCATAAGGAGGCCTCCAGCACACAATCTCAAATACAATTGATGCCTCACGCCTCCGTATCAAAATAAAACACTTTCTGCATAAAGGGATGATGATGGATAGGGGGATCTCGACAAATCTGACTGGAAAAGTGCGTGCATGCTTGGGATGCTCACAGATAAAGGCATTGGCCGACTTCCGCAGAGATGGATGTGAAAATTGCCCGATGCTGAGCATGAAGGGAAACATCACAAATGTTAATGAGTGTACCACACCAAACTTCAGAGGCGTGATTGCACTTTTTAATCCCTCCAGCAGCTGGATAAGCAGATGGCAGAGGATTTCAGAGTTCAAGAAGGGTTTGTATGCAATGAATGTGGAAGGCGTGCTGTCTGATGATTGCATCCGGGAGGTTGAGCAGAACGGAAGAATGTATCATGAACGAGAAGAGTCGTTCAAGTTGTGATGCAAAGGCCAGGCGCGCACAGAGGAAATCGAGTGTTATTAAATGTGTTGTTACAAGACGGTGCTTGCTGAAGTTTAATATGGTAGTGCATCAGCCCTTAATGGAGAGGATTGATCTTGATAATGTAGACGATGCCATAAGACGAGAAAAGCTGTTTTTGAAAGCAGCAAAGGAATGTCTTGGGAGAATGGAATTCAAGCTTGTCAGCAAAGATCATAGCGGAGTGCTGATGAGGACACAGAAGGAGATAGACATGTGTGAGAAGTATGGGCAGTTACGAGCAGAGCGCATGACAAGGAAGCATGCAGAGAAGAGGATACAAAAGAAATCGCGGAAAATAGAAGAGGGCTCTGACGATCTGGGCCCTGAAGAGTTCATTGCACCAATGATCAGCAATAAGGATAACAGAATGAAAAACAAGAAGAAGTTATACATAAATAACTCAGAGAGGAGGAGAAAAATGAAATCGCGGCAAAAGCGGCATAGGCATTGAAATCGACATCGACATAATGATGGGATTTCTGATAGCTGAATTAAATCTGATTAGTATGTGTGATTTATCAGGCACAATGTGATTTGTGTTTCGCGTTTTGATTTGTGCTTTGATTGATGATGGATCAACAGCTGCAAACTAGTTGCTGGATTGGTCTGTGTGCATAGTGTACTTTTATACTATATCATGGATAAGAATTATACAGCTCAGCAGCATGAGCGAGCAGACAGGCAACTTGATTGTAGGCACGGGAACCATGGCAAAGTTCAAGCTGCTGCTTGCCACTAGCATCCACGAAAGCCATATAAGGCACAGGATCTGTACAAGCTTAGAAAGGAGCCAGATGAGCCTGTACATAATTTTGACCGCAAAACATCTTTTCGATAAAGTCCAGAAGAGTGTTCCTGCACATACTCGAGCAGCTGAACACGCCATGCTGTGCAAAATCGACAGGTACATTCTTGAAAGAAAGAGCAGGGAGGCTGAAAAGGTGCTTCAAAACGAATATCTGGTGTTTATTGGATGCACCATAATAGCCTCAAAGATGTACATGGACTTCTCATACACAAACTTCTCATGGGTCGAGGTTTGCAGCCATACGGTGGATCAGATAAACCTTACGGAAAGGCAGATCCTGCAAATATTGAACTATGATGTGTGCCTGAATTGGATTGAGCTAAAGGTGATGTACGATGAGTTTGGATGTAGTCAAAGCACATCCACAAAGATCAGGAAGCGCAAAGGATTCTTCAACTGGGCATTCAAATCGCTGTTTAGTTTGGTTTCATGCATTGATTAACAGCCTACACTAGCAATTTAACTGCTTCCTTACCACTACTATACATCCAAATGCTACACTCAATTGAAAGAGCTCCTGATATCCTAAAACAGTCCACATGCAATAAACCTGCTTTTACTATCGATTTCTATTTCTACATACATTAGATTACTTGTTTAATTTGTAATATATATAGCCATGGCATTTGCTGCTGGTTGTTGGCTAATCACCTGGCTTTTGTATCGATTCAGCAGAAGATTCTGCCTCGCAGTTGTTATTCAATTTCAATGCACCAAACCCAAGCCTGTTCGCATTCTTCTGGCTGCTCTCGAGATTGAGCTTCTTTCCTGACGATATCCTAAGCGACGCAAGCGAATTCTTTTTTATGACTACCTCCTCATGCAAAGGAGCCGGAGTGCTCTCCTTACTGCTCACACACTCTTTGATTGCATCGTTATCTTCTGCATGCACAATAATCGCATCGTCAGAAAATTTGGGCATCTTGACCTCACTGACCTTTTTGGGCTCCAAGGCACTCTTACTTTTGCATTCCAGACTCTCAATAAATGCCGTTCCAGGCTCGTCAATCTCGCTCTTCCTTACCATCTCATCAACGGCCTTTGAATACCACTTCGCACCTGTATACTTTGAGCGCAGATCAGGCCCCTTCCCAAGCTTTGATGCATTCATGTTCCCTGACACATAGATCCGCCTCAGCTCAGACAGCTTCCATGCATCAAGTATCATCGACTTCACCTTGCTTATTCCAATGCCAAGCTCTCGATGCTTTGCAGCACACTCCGTGCATATAAAAAACCCATATGTCACTGCTATCCATATTGGCGACGGCTTGTCACAGTCTGCACATCTCTTATTGTTGGACTGTGCCCTCACATGCTTGAAGAATGTATTTGCTATTGATTTGTCGACAGCATCATGATCATCCATGCACCCAGGGCTCTGTTTTGGGTGATGTTTTGATTGCACACAAGCATGCTGTATAATAATGACGGTGCATGATGCATTTATTTAAATGTTGATGAAATTCAGAATGCCAATGAATATTACATTTCCCTTGCTAGTAGTTATTATCCAAGAGATTAAGATGCGAGAAATAATTATGGCCATGGCTATGGTTGTTTAGGTGTCCATGCGAATGGGATAAACGTGATGCATGGCTGTGCGGATGTGTGATGTCATCAGATGTCTTGTTGATAATGACTATATTTGGTTTTCCGCACTTGCTGTAGTCTCCACCTGGGCAGTGGCGCTGGCGCTCTAGAGCCATCCTCTCCTCTGTTTCAATATTACTGACAATGTCGTGATCAAATATAAAAATCTGTTGAGGATTATCTGGAGAGCATGTCTCTCTAGTGATTTTTCCAGTAGTCTGGTCGTATTGCAAGCACATTAAATCGTTTAGACTGCTACTCTTGAAGGTTATGATTTGGAATCCAGGCTCTACAGGGTCTGTTCTAAGAAACATAAACTGCCTTTGATTGGCTGGGACACTGGTAGGCCATATAACCAAATCTCTCACATTGTTTTCAATGTCCAAATATTTTTTAGAGTCAACGCCCTGAATCATGTACTGGCCACCAATGCTTGTATTCCACTTTACGAACTCCAAAGCGGGTTCTGTACTCGACATTATCATGTTATATTCCCCAGTGAAGAATTTGGTAGGCTCTAGCTTAGAAGCTATTTTGAAAATAGCGGAATCAGCAACAACTATTCCAATGCTAATGATTGCATGCAGGAACACGGGTCTCATAAGCTTGAGAGAGGTTCACAGCACTTTATATACCTTGATTCAAAAGTCTGTTTCAGTTTAAAACATTGGCCACAAATGGCTTTGCCAACACTTTCAGGTTATTTAGCAACCGATTTAATTCGATGCAGCTTATTGGCTTTTGGGCATGACTGGCAAGTAAATTGTTTCATGCTGTAATGCCGATGCATTTGATTTGTGCGTGATCAAGCATGGTAGCATCAATCGTTGCTTGAGGCGAGGCCTAGATGCCAGGCAGTGCCTCTGAGCACAAGGTAATTCATCTGCTTTAAGTAATGTGCGAAATTAAGCTCGTTGCAAACAGACATTAAACACTGCGTGACGGAGGGCTGTGATGAGCAAGCACAAAAGCAGAGTGGCCGCAGATAAGTACTTTGTAGCTGCAGAAGGCAAGAATGTAGACTGCCACACGATGGTGGATATAATGCATGGGATTACTGTAGGCAGTGCAGCAGGAGAAACCGCCAGTGAAGTTAGTGAGGAGGATTCGGGAGAGGAATACGGTAAGCTGAATAAGTCATTTATACTGTCATGCATGTCAGTGATGGAAAGCGGAGAAAGCCTGGCGCCGCTGTTTGTACAGTACAAATCGTTTATCAAGCTGATCAAGGGAGCAGAACCGGTGCATTCAAACAATTTTGAGTTTTCATTGGCTGATTGTGAGTTGCCTGCGGGATGTAATACAAAGAGTGTAAAGCATCAGTGCTCACAGAGTGGGATATACAAATTTCTTACGAATTATTTTGGAGTAGAGTGTACAAGCTCGAGCATGAATGACGAGTTTGTGGATTCGTTGGAGGCATTCAAGAGAATCGAGCGGATGTCCGACTTTCCTTTCAACGAGCCTGTGCAGTATTCGAAAGGGAACGGAGTGATGTTTTCGCTTTCCAGGATGGAGGATGTTGGGAACCACAACAGAAAAGTGTTTGAAACAATAACGAAGCTGAGGAAAGAGAAGAATGCACTTACATATATAAAGAACCCAATGTTTTTTGAAGAAAGCTCTGCTGAGGAGGATTATGAAGGAGATACGCAGGCGATTAGGGAGATTGTTGGGTGTGCACACTATGAGGGAGGAAAGTACAAGTTTCTTTGTGATCTTGTTCTGAGAGGAGGGTCTAGAAAGAGCCGTAACTACATAAATATGAGGCGGGGAAAGCGAACAATCTTCAGGCATCTTGATGGAGAGCAGATAAGGATGATGCACAGCAAAGGGGAAGACGTGGTTTACATGCTTGTTATGAAGACGATGGCGATATATAAGCTTGTATGCAGACATCCAAGCATTGCTCTGAATATATATGAGCATTTGAAAAGAAACGACCTAGTTGATGATGCGAAGAGATTTTGTAACTGATTCCAGATATCCAGATATGGCAATCTGGTAGATATGTGAGATTAAACTTGGTGGGCTATTCAAAGGAATTAAAATGAAGAGATTGAGTAGATTTTCGATACCAAATGTGCTTTTAGCAATGCATGGCGTTCTGTTTGTTGCTCTGTGCTTTTCAAGATCGATATACGGGGTATTAGTTCTTGCATGCTGTGTTTTTATTCACAAGAGAATTCTATTTCGTGTTGTAGCGATAGCGATGTGCCTGATATATTTATTAGTGGTTGCGAATGAATTCAACAGTTCTAATTCTAATGGCTTTGATGGATGTGATTACACTGATAGGCCAATGACTTTGATAAATGCAGATGAATTTGAATGCAGTTCATCGCACAGATGTGCTAGCGAACAGAATGATTCATACGATGATTCGGTGTATACGCTGCCCCCGGTAGTGAGAGATGGAGATGTTTGTGGACATGAGAGCGATTCGCAGAGATGCAATTGTACCAATACCGTCGTCTGCCATGCATCGACGTGCTTTTACAATGCGTATTTGACAGGAGGTGTTTTGCCAGACAATGCTTTTACTTAGCCTGGCTTGGTATCTGTACTTTGCTGATGAGTGATTGAACAAATTGATGGAAAAGGAGTAAAGGAGGGCGACTTTATAATATGCATGAATGATTGCAAGTGTATGGAGGAGGAAACAGATCAGCAGAATGGAGGCTCGATTTTTTCTGAAGATACATTCCTGGAGATACTTGGATATTATGATGAGATGTCCGAAGATTATTGCATGGAGAAAGAAGTTGATAAGTGCCATGGCTCTGGATGCCAGAATGAAAATGACTATACTGATCAGGCCTATTCTAGTGAAGAGCAAGAAACCAGTAGTTATGAGCTTGATTTGTACATAGTCAATGTAGACATCGATTATGCAGAATACAACTACACAGATAGGATGCTACAAAATGGCCCAGATGAGAGGATGAATCTGAATGGTGATCTGAACATCAACGAGCTCCATTTGGCTCAAGAAAGACAGCAATGCACTCAGCTTGCATGCTTGTATGATGATTCTGAAGCCGATTGTGAGCTTGGCACAGATAAGAGCACAAATCAATTGCCAGTGAATACACTGTCTCTTGAAAGCCAGCTTGCACAGAACGAGCCTGATGAGTCTCTGCATGGCCAGCCTGATGGATTTGCAGAATGCACAAATACTGAGCGGGATCTTGAGCGGATATGTGCTGATATGCAAGGCATGTCTGAGAAGGAAGCAGAACTAAGAAGCCAAGTTATTGAGATATTTTCCACCACGCCTAAGATTGATGAAAATAGTTTTTTTTTCGACAGGATGAGAATCAACCGTATTTGCATTGATTCGAAGATATTTGTCAGCATTGATGAGCGTGAATGCAAAGTTGCAGAAAGAGTTGCGAGCGACGAATGCATAATTAAGCGAGACGGCAGAAGATGCGCAGATGGCCACATGTGTGGCATGAGTGAGGAGGAAGTGTTAGCATGTGAGCCGAGCACAGATGCAGCAATAAAAGAGGAGGTAATGAAGACTTTCAAAGAAATGGAGAAACGCGCATTGGAGGCAGATGCAAGATGTATTGGTGCATCTGGAGGTATGCCACGCCAAAAGTTTGTGATTGACCAGGAGGAGGTTTTTCTGAAGATTGAGGAAGTTATTAAGCTGAATGACCTAAAGCACAGGAATCTGATTGGAAAGATACACAAAAAAGGAAGAAACAGCAGATACCAATCCAACTGGTTCACCCTCAGAAAGAACTTCTTTACTTGCTACAGTAGGAAGGGGTGGAGGATGGTGCCCGGAGCATTGCTTGAAAATGACGGAAACCTAAAAGATCCTGAGCAAGACATGTTTTTTCTGAAGAGGAAGTACACCCTTGATCTGTTGTACACGAAGATATATCTGTTGAACAAGAAGAAATGGTATGGCTGTATCAGGGCGAATCCCTGGGCCGAGGAAGAGCTGATTGACATTACTGAAGACACAAAGATAATGAAAATAATACCTATGAAAAAGTACTTTGTGGTTGTGCTGAAGAAGAACCTTGTGAAAACACAAATCCGGATGAAAGAGCTTAGCTTTATGCTGAAGAGTGGGGATGCCACACACATATACAAATCGAAATGCATTGATACCTTTCTTGGCTGGATTGTTGCATTTGCATTCCGACAAGGAAGAATAACGTGTAATATTGGCTAATATAATGGAGGTGCTATATTGTTTTCAGAGTGTTCTTGGCACGGCGACAATGAGCTAATTGAGTTTGAATAAAGTGTTGTCTCATGCATCTTTGAGCCTGAATGTCTGAATGAAGTGCTGATGAATAGGCTGCTTTGCTGTTTATGCCGACAGATGAATCGCCCATGAGCGATGATCTGGATATTATTGAGTGTCCGTTCAGAGCAGATGACTGTATTCTACCTCTTATAAAGACAAGCTCGGGATACGAAATGCGGGTTTGCAGCAGGCCTGACTCAAAGAAGGTTGTTGCCACAAAGAGCAAGAAAAATGTATGGTATCTGCATGTGCGAATCGATGATTATGGATGCAGGAATATGGGATACACGGAGAACATGTATTTGTTTTGCACACCGGCAGACTTTTATGTTCCTATTGATCAGTGCTCAAGAGAATTTTACTCGAGCATCTATGACAAACTGGTGCATGGTGATATGCAACAGTGCATGGAAGTTGCACAGATGTTCAGTGAATCGTATATCGATGACGAGGTTCCGATGTATCCGGCACCGGTTATTTCCACGGTGGAGAGTTTTGAAAACTACAACTTCAAAGACTTCAGGAGTGGAAGGGACAGGCAAGCAGATACAATACATGCGGGGTATGATGACGAGATACCATGTGAGTCTATTCAAGGGCTTGAGGATTCGTTGATGAAACTGCATTCGCTAGATGTAATGGAGGTTCAAAAGCAGATATTTGCGCAAGTGTTTTCAGTGCATCCCATCCTCAGGATCTCAAATGTGATCCGAATGTTTGATTTGGATGAGAGGGCATCTGAAGTAGAATTCAGCAACTGGAAGATAAAGAAGCTTCTTCCATTGCATGCATACTTCATTACCTCAGGGCCATGGAGGGGGTGCTGGACAAGGTTTGGATTTGATCCGAAGGCCGATCAGTCGAACTTCAAGTATCAGATATACGACAGCCGGAAGTCTGGGCGCACATTCCAGGTGTTTGAAGCAGAAAATGTTGTTTCTGAAGTGGAGAGAAACAAGCCATGGTATCTTACGGACAAGCCAAGCTTTAGAACGGGATTCCATACAAAAGCTCTTCTCAACTTGTTGAAGTTCAGGTCTGAACTGGAGTTTCATCAAGCAGACGACGGAGATGAGATGGACTTTGAGGTTTATGATTGAATAGATGCCATGGAAGTACAGTATGGATACAACAATATGATTGCTGATGGTCAAGCATGGCTGGCTCTGCTGCGAATGAGAAATGGATAAAAAAATTATCCCTCAAAAATGGTAAGTGAGTTTGCGTAATTTCAGTTGATTAAGGATGTTAGAGTTATAGCGGATGAGGCAGGGCTGTATATGCCGGATGACATTCCAGCATTTGTGGAGAAGCACAAGAAGAGAACTACAATCAAAGCAAGAGTTGCCAGGAGCGACCTGGTTGGCGGAATGGTTGTTGTTGTTCTTGAAGGAGTGTATGCAGCAAAGCGAGTGGTGTATCTGAAGGGTCTTGAAAACAACCTTGCGCTTTGTGTGGGCCCTAGGTCGATCAATGGTGTTGGGTTGTTTAGGATTGACGAGAGGTATCTATTTGCAACATCCACGGTGCTGAAGATTGATGTTGATGCAAATATTGATTGTGAGAATGTGTTCTTGGCTGAAAGAGACGTTTATACTCTGCCTAGTGCAGGTGCAAGCTCAACAGAGGAGAAGATCGACGAGCAGGTCATGAGAGCAGTTAAAGAAGTTGAATATATGAAGACCTATCTTTCAGAGCAGTTTGAAATTGATGCAGCAAAGGACTTTTATTCTCTGAAATATTAAAAAGTATGCATTTCATTATTTTATTGGACTTATTTCATTCAGCAAGGCTTTTCAGAGCGGCCTCTTCGATTAAGAACTCTTGATTGGCTTGATGCCTTATACGGATGCAAATTGCTAAAGCTTGCTTGCTTCTTTCTTGTCTTTTGTATAAAGCTCATGAGACTCCTCAAAATCCATAGGGATATATGTATTCTTAAAACTCGAGATGATGGGGAATTGCCCTGCATTGACCACTGTTAGTCTTTCTCTACTGGTAGGGCACAGAAACCCAGAAAGAATCTCAAGCTCTTCTTCATTGAACAAATGCCCATATTTCTGCGAGATGATTTCTCCTGTAGGCTTTGGCTTTGAATAGGCCTCTACTTCAAGCATGTCTGTCCATTTGTACTTGTCCTTTGGAATTCCTAGATCATCAAATATCAATCTGATCTGAGACACTTCATCACAACCCCGGTAAGGAGGCCTATGCAGCCTCATTTCTAGCATTATGCAGCCTATTGACCAGGCATCAACCTTGAATCCGTATGATGTCTCTCCAAGAAGAAGCTCTGGTGCTCTGTACCAAAGTGTACACACTCTGTTAGTCATTATTCCAGATACTTCTCTTGTTAGTCCAAAGTCTGCAAGTTTCAGTACTCCAAAACGGTCTATCAGGATGTTGCTGGGCTTTATATCTCTATGAACCAGTCGTAAAGCGTGCATTGCACTCACTGCTTCTACAAGCTGCGAAAGAATCGATCTTGTGTGATCAACACTTAGATCGGCACCTGATGCAAGAAGCCCTGTTAAATCATAAGGCATATACTCAAGCACAACAAAAACAAAGCCATCATCAAAAATAATTTCGTTCAGCTTGATGATATGTTTGTTGCACATTGCTTTACATAGCTTTATCTCACGTATGGCAGTAAATGGAAATCCAGTCTCCTTGTCTACAGGCATTTTTTTGATCGCCACTATTTCATCATCAGATATTCGTCTTGACTTGTACACCTGCCCAAATGCTCCTTCCCCCACTTGCTTGATGTTTTCATATTTCTCCATCAGGGCTATGATTCGGCTATGTTGCTTTCTTAAACAAAACTTGCATTCAATCCCACACCAAATATACAATATATAACCCACTTCCAGTGTTAACTAGCTTTATTTCGTCAATCCCTTTAAATATATCGCATAGCTTTCGTTAATTTCCTTTGATTACTTCGTCTCGTTCGCAAGTCCTCTAGATTTCCTAGATGTCGTCTTCAGGCTACTACTGCGTTTACCATTCCCACGAGTCTAGAAGTCTTCTTATCGCCATTTCATTTTGTACTCGACGAATCAATCAATTTAGAACTCTTACTTTTGCTCTTACTTTTGCTCTTACTACTCTTTCTTTGGCTACTTGACTTTGCACTTGAGCCTGAACTCAAATGGCTATTGCCGTTCATATTTGATGAAGATCCTGAAGATTTCAGCCCACTAAGTGTTCCTCTCATCAATTTATTTTCATAGCTCTTATTCATTATCTTACTACTCTTCTTAGAACCATTCAAGTTTGACTGATTCAAAAAGCTCATCCCAGACTTCAATCCAAACACCTTCGCAACAACCAAAACAGTAGAAACAACAAAAAATCTCCTCATGTTTATTTCTTCTTTCATCATATTTATAAATTATCCAAAACGTGTTTTATCATTCCTGCTTGGCTTTGATCTGTTTTACATTGTGCTTGTGCTTATCTAAAACATGCACAAATAGCCGTCTACCGCATTTCATCCCATTTCAAAAACATACATTCCGGTAATCCAGATAATACACTCCTATCCTATGCTTATCTGCAAAATTCATCAACTCTCATATCCGCCATTTTCATTCTTGCAGATATCTCCACATACTCTTCATATGTCATCTCAACAACTAGATGCATCATCTCACTTTCGTCGTTACTTGGCGGACAAATAAATAGCTTGCCGTCCTGGCTCTTCAAACATGCTTTTCCAGATCTCATCGCAAGTGAAAAGTACATTATATTCTCTATCGTCTTTGAAAACGATTCCAAATCTATAACAAACTCAAAATAGTCCATCGCCCTTTCCTCCACAACCATCCTATTCATCTTACAAACAATTTCAGACTCCTTCTCTATTTGCATGTCTTTCTCAACCGGCCTCATGGCATCCTTATCAATATTCAGGTACCGTTTTCTTGGCTGCTGTATTCTGTCTCGGCTCCTCGCCATTCCACATCTGCCAAGCACGAGGCTATCTACAAAACTCATCCCAATATAGCACTCTAGTGCTGCTTCACACAGTCTGTCTATCAGGCTACTGCACATGACCTCGGCAAGCATTCTCGAGCCTACATCTTCAGGCTCCATCTTCTTCTCTATTCCTTTGCATGCTAATCCAGTCGACATCGCAGTTATCTTTGCATCCAGCTTAAGCTCAGAACATGTTTTTATCCTTTTAAACAACACATTCGATCTACTTACTACGCTCTCTAATCTTGCATCGTCATCAGCAATTCCTTCTCTCAGCTCATGAAGCTCCTGAATCAGGCAAATATATCTCTTCTGAACTTCATCACTGCTTTCCTCTTGCTGCTGCTCACCATCTCGCATTAAACAGATGGCCTTGCATGCTGCATCATTTTCTCATCCTACAAAATATTTACACAATCCTATAACTTCCTCCTCCAAACGGATTCGAAAAGTCATAGACACATGCAAACTTATTGCATTCAGAATCGCCATATCTGCCAATCACTATATCCTTGCATCTCTGAAGATACACACCCGTCTGTGTATGAACCACGAGCTCTACATCTTCACAGTTATTCAGTCTTATCTGATGTGCACTGCATGAAATCCTACTGCTCTTGACATCTACTAACAACACTGAGGTTTCGCTGCAGAAATAATCAAAAACACATCCACTGCACTGCTCAATCAAAGCCTCACAGCAATCTTCAATAATAACATTCTCTCCATGCATATTCCTAACATATCTCTTGTTATCAGCACTTGTAATCTCATTTTCCTGCCTTGCCAATAAAAACGGCTCGGCCATCAAAATTTCTGCAGAATCCAACGGCATATGATGATTGTACACACTCTTCAGCCTTTGAATTTTGTCAATCAATGCTCTTTTACCATATAATGACGGTTCCAGCCTAATGCTGTCTTCTATCTTTAGAATGGCTTTTCTAGCCCCTTCAAAATCCCCCTCTCTGACTCTCTCCATTATTTCATTCTCCATTAGGGTTGATGCTCGCGATCAAACTTAATTAATGCATCAACTTTGTTGCTCAGCTCACATTTGTGTATCTTCATGTAGAACACACATCCATTTCGTCCCACCTCTTCCGGATGCTCGTACACCTCATAATCATGTATTACTATTCGCTTTCTGAACATCGGACAGTCCAACACCACACTTTCGTACTCTCCTCCTTCTCCGCAAAAATTTGTCTCTGCACTGTGTAACTCATCACTCAAACACTCAAGCATCTGCTTCAGGTCCATTCCTATACAGTGCTTTCCGAGCGATGAGGATGCAACCTTCACTATTCTTGCCTCAATGCCTTCTTCAATCATTCGCTCAACCAGTATCCTTTGGTCCATCTGCCAAAGTGGCGATAAACTACAGAGAGACAGACGTCTGCAAACACTCTCAACTCTGCTCTTCTGATACCGTGAGAGAATAGCACCCGATGACACTGCTTCAAAACCAACTTGTTCCAGTGCATTCAAGACTGCACAATACAAATCCTCAACCTCATCGCCATCTGATTTTGTATACTCAAGCTGCTGGTTAATGCTTCTGCACTTCGTCTCATGTACAAAAATAGGTACGTCCATGCACTCCCCAAGCATTTCGGCAACTTCAGAGCCAACTGTCTGATACATATACGAATCGCTATACTCTTCGGAGCTCTTCATGTACAACAGGCACACAACACAATGTCCCTCCTTCTCAAGGCACTTGATCGAGTAGATACTGTCTTTTCCACCACTCACAAGCGCAAGATACCTCATCAACGGATATTTTTGCTCAGCTTAAATAGGCCAGAAAACACATATTGTGCAAGACATAAATACCCCATTATTCCCTTTTAATCTTCTTGATCATCTCCTCAGCTTCTATAGGAATGTCAATTCCCTTCGAGTAGTAAAACAGCATCGATCCTTTGGGCATTGAAAGCACAGAATCAAAAAGTTTCCACAGAAGCTCTGCTTCATTTGAACTGACGTTGCTAAACTCCCTGCTTCTTACTAGACAGTCAAAAACTATTTCGTGATCGTTGTATGCGCCGTAGTTCTGTTGCATAATCTCCTCAACCGACTTTTTGTTGCAAATAACATACTCATACACATTTTCTCCAACATCAACTCTGAGGAACACCTCGCATCTAGGATACACATTGAAAACTAACTTGATCTGCGATATTTGATTGACATGGATTGTTTTGTATGTAGACTGCTCAAATGAAGAGGCAAGCCCCATGCATTTCTGGTATGCATCTTTCTTGAACTCAAAGGAAACCTCTGTTCTCTTCTCATTCATTCCCTTTCCTGCAATCATGATGAACGGAACGCCAGACCATCTTGGCTTGTTGATGTATATAGGCAGCATGCAGAATGTCTCGGTTGTTGATTCGTTGTGTAGTTCTTTGTTGTAATCTTCATATTGCCCATAAACACACTTTTCGGTATTGATTGTGCACGCTGCAAACACATCCATCCTTGCAGACATCTCCGTTGCTCTTGATGCTCCGCTCTGAGTGCATTCATTATCTGAAGCAACTATTGCAAGAAGCTCTGCCATGTGATTCAGCATTATATCCTTTATGATCCCGTTCTTGTCGAAGTAGTGCCGTCCTTCTCCTCCAATCGCCTCCTTCGACACTATCTCGACGCTTTTCACATGTTTGTTGTCCAAGACCTTTCGAATACCATATTCACAAATGATCCTCGGAGCTGCCACCACCATTGGCTTGAGTAGATAGTGGTCAATAAACACAGTCCTGCTAAGGTCAAATTCCTTCATCATCTGGAAGCATCGGATGTCTTCTCCATATGGCTTCTCCACAGCAACCATCTTGTACTCTAGCTTCGATATCTCTGCAAGAAGAACCGTGTACACAGACGGAGGCACAGAAAAGTATACGATTGTCTCTGAGTCGACAATGCCCCTGAGCTTTGAAAGGTTGCTGTATGTGCCCCGGATGTATGTGACCTTCGAAATGAACTCGGGGGTGTAGTTTCCAACCTCCTGCAGAACATCGGAGAACTCAGTGTCGTACTTCGTCCTTGCATAGCCTATGATCTCAACGCTGTCCAAATCTATCCTGGAGAGTGCAGGAAAGAGCTTTCTCATGGCCAGGTCGCCACTGGATCCAAAAATCAGGATTTTCATTTGTATGGACATGGCTATGGAGTGTTAAATAATATTTTGAGCAATGGGAAACAAATACAGCTGCACACTGACTCCTCAATATGGGCGTGGATGAACAATCAGTAGCAATGCAAAAAGCACATTGCAAACAAGAATACTACATGTGTTATATTGTAGCATGTGAATATCAAAATGCAAAAGCCACCACTGGGAATCGAACCCAGGGCCTTTAGCTTACAAGGCTAATGCTCTACCGGCTGAGCTATAGTGGCTCCACACTATGCCAAACACAAAATACACAACATCACAGAGGCCGTTCATATACACCATCGCAAAACACTATACTTAACACCATGATTGCATGCACTGGACATTCTATTCATCAAATTCTTTATTCCTTATTCAGCCCATCAACATCATACGCCCCAACATGCACCCAGCCTTCCTCATTCATATAATACAAATTGACTGTTCCTCCAGAAAAGCTATCTCGATGTGCCGCATGGAATATAGCATCTCTCCCAAGAGCCAATGCCTCTTCCTTGCTCATGTCAAACCTGTATGCCATCGAAAGAATACCATGTGCAATCGTAGACCCGCTTCCTACAGAAAACAAATTCCCGCTTACCCTTGTTCCGTCATTATCCACATAGTATATGCTTGGCCCGTCATTATTGTACCCGCATATCATTGTTCCCATTGACAGCCCACGGCCTTTGTACTTGTACACACAGTTGCTCAGATACATGCTTGCTGCCGAGGCTGTTATCTTACGCCCATTCGTCAGCTCATACTCCTTTGCATACAGACCCATTAGTGTCTCCCAGAAGTAGCAGTCTGCAGCACCTCCTGCCATCGTTCCAAGCAGATTCCTGTTTACCTTGATTACCTTATCCACAGTCTGGGATGCTATGTATGGGCCCGAGGTTGCTCTTGAGTCAACTGCTATCACCATTCCCTCCTTGAAAACAAATGCCAAGGTTGTTGTTCCATAATATGGCTTTACCAATGCACCAACATGGCTCTGGTCTGCAAACCTTGCCTCGATCCTTCTGATGTCCCTGGTCAGTGTTTCGTCCATCCTAAATGTTTCTTCCATGGGCTGAGTGTTTTTGAAAATACAAAAGCCTAGATAACAACTGCGGCGATTGCCGAATCCCTACGACGCATGGATGCCCTGAAGGAAAAGATCTTTCAGTTTGGAATATATGGACGTGCGCTTGTTCTGATGGATAGTAATGAGCTGGAGGCCATAGTTGACAAGCCCTGGACAGAGGTTGTGGGCAGGGATTGCATAGAACGGCTGAAGAAGGAATTCACAACAGATTGTTTAAGAAAGACATCAAACAGAACAACGATGGCAGAGCACAGCCATGGAGACTTGGTTGTAAGGATGGGCACTTTGGCTTGGAAGGACTATCTAACATCTGGAGCATTCAACTTCACGTCGAAGGAGTACTTCTTGATAATGGATCTTCTGATAACCTCGAAGGAATATATTGATAATGTTGGGATGAGGAAGCTGGGGCTTGATCCAAAGAAAAGCCATTATTGCATTAACAGGCTTGCATCGAAAGGATTTATTGAGTATAAGCCTGCAGAAGGAGATGAGAAGAAAAGCTTCATATACAAGGTTCGGGTGATTATTGATGAAAACGGGGCTGTTAGCCGCTGCACATCAATAAAGAAAGGAGATGCATGCAAGCTTGATTGTGATGAAAGGAAGCGTATGTTTGAGTATAGAATGGAGCTTGGGCTGTATGACAACATCCGAGAAATGATAGCTACGAAGCGAAGCGGGATAATTACGGAAGATCTGAAGGAAAGGCTTGGGATTAGCTCGAAGATTGGATACAAGCTTCTGAACAAGATATTCAATAAAGAAAAAGAGATGGTAAGAAATAGGGAGTTTGAGGGTAGAGTCAGAAGATACAGATATTGCTTGCCAGAAACACAAGGAGGTAGCAAACAGCAGATAGAGGAGAATAGTGCAACAGTACACATGACGTCTGAGAAGCGGATTGATGCAATAAAGAAGCTGATGGCAATGAGCCCGATTCTTCAACTGGATAAGCAAACATATGAAAAGCTACAGGAAATGACAGGATGGAAGTATGAGTTTGATAGAAGAACGATAATTAGGGCAGCCATTCATGCTGGGTTTAAGATATACAAAAAGAAGGGAAAGGATAGCAAATGCAGTAGATATGTGATTGCAAGGAACGAATGCATTGAGTCTGAGATTCGTGTGCAGGATGCCTCTGACACGGGCAATGAAGAGAGTATGACTGAATTCCAAAGACGAGTCTACAACATCTTTGTGAACTCTCCTAAGTTTGTGGAGATGGATAATGGATATGCTGCTGTAAAGGGAGAACGATTGAGGATGTTCCATGAGTTTTTAGCAAGCAAAATGAAGAGTGGAGATGAGCAGCTGGTGTTTGGCTGGGATGTTATAAAGCAGATGAGGGTAAGCCTGCTATTATCTGTGATTCCATTTAATCGGATTGGATTGAGAGAATCGCTTTGCAATGTGTTTAAAAGCGAGAGAAATAATTCGGATGTAGGCGCGATGGATAAGGATGTGATCAATGTGCTGCTTGAAAAGGTGAGCGTCGGTGAAATGATGGAAATGAAGCATTCACCAAGCATTAAGAAGCTGATCAGATTGAAAACAGGAGTGGGCAACTTTGTATCGCTGCTAAAACAGCTGAAGGATTGGGGAGTGATTGATGCAGAGATATCGTGTGAGAGCATTGTGATTCGAAGAGTTGCAAACAGCATTGATGTAGATATAAGAGGAGTAGATGCGAAAAAGCACAGGGGATGTGCTCGGCATGTTTGCTTTGAAAAAAGAATGATGTTTTTTGAGAAGATGAGTGCCGTTGATGAAGAGCTGTTCTATGATGAGGCTTACAAGTACATTTACGGAGTGTTTAGTGGCGAAGAGCTTGATGCAATGATAGACAAGCTGAAGGTATTTAAGAGTGATGAGTCTGATGATGGAAAGCAGAGCTCATTTGAAAGGCTGTATATGGGATTCAAGAAGAACATTATTGAGACTGGATGGCTAGGGACGTTTGACTTCAGCATGAACTCTGTTTCTGAGGTCAAGAAGGTCCTGAAAGCGCTTTCCAGAGATAAGATAATAGCAAACTACAAGAGTGTGAGGCGAACAGAGTTTGTAACACCACACGAAAGCTTTGCAAGAATGATGGCGAAAAAGCACGATGTTTTTCGATTCAAGGGATACCACGAGCACAAGGGGATGGGATACTTCTCACACTACTTTGATCTGGTATACTACACACTGGCAACATCTGGATCGCTTGAGATTGGCGAGCTGCTTTCTCGTGTCAAGTTTCTGGCTGTTTTTGAGATGGAACTGTTTCTGTGCGAGTATAGGAGTGTCTTTAAGACAAATGTGCTGAATGGGACAAGAATAATTTCGTTAGGAATATTCATGGATCCGTTTGAATGATATATCCTGGAATGTCTGCTCATTATGAGAGACAAAAGATGTATGTATTTGCTATTTGCTGGTATAATAAATTGAATGTAAGAATAGTTGAAATTGAATCTCGTTTTATTTATGAGTTCAATCGGGCCTTATTCAGTAGATACTACTGATTGCTTATTGCTTTAGATATTCCGGAAAGTTAAAAATATACTACTATTATGTGCTCTCAGCAACGTCAGAGAACAAGGTGTTTTCATCTTCATATTTATCTTCATCTTCATCTTTATCTTCATATTTATCTTCATCTTCATCTTTATCTTCATATTTATCTTCATCTTTATCTTCATCTTTATCTTCATTTTGATTATAGTAGAGCTCTGTATCATCATAATGTGATAGCGACGTAGAAGAAGGGGGTATCGTCGTTAAATTATCACCATTAGTAGCATTATTAAGCTCTTTTAATACATCTTTTTCGCTGACAGGATTGAGCCTGAATTTCCCGATAAAATCCTGCGCGGATTTTACAGTTTCATTCGTCCTTTCTACACTTTCATTAATGCTATCAGTTAAAATACCAGCAATTCCACTAACGACACTATCTTGGTGGTTAGTAGTATTATGGCACCTGCAATTATTCAACGCACATAGTGTAGAGGCAATACAAACTACTGTTCTCTTGGTAAACATTTATGCTGAGGTGTTCAGCCGTGCTTATATACTTTAGATCTCCTTTTGCTACTTCCATGTGCAGAATATTGCATTACATGGTAAGAAGCAATTTATAGGATGATGATGCAAATATACACATCTGGATACTCAAAATGGATATATGACTGTTCAGATTGATGTATTTTGTTTAAATGTAAATCTATTAGACTATTTGCAATTGGACGAGCAGTAATTAGGTATTTTGAGTATCTTGTATCAACTCGGACTAACCAGTAGACAATTAGACTGTCTGTTTGCATTTAGCCAAACTAAAACTGTGGCCTGCTTGCATTTGGCTTGAGTTTAATGAAATGGCAGTTATTCTGTTACTCATGCACTGCATGATGCAATTGTAAAAATTATGTGTGTTTAATATTACTAAACGATGAAGGGTGAGATGAGTAACAAGAAGTATAGGAAGGAAGAGATATTCATGAGGGTTGATGAAAAGCAGGTCGAATGCATGAGAGAAGCAATAAGTCTCATGGTTCCTGCAGTGGTGTATGGAGAGGTTGGAAGGAGTTTTCTTGTATCCAGGATGCACCGAGAGATTGTTGGAGAGAAGGGAAGTTTAGTAGAGATTGATTCAAGAGAGATATGCGACTCGAGGGTTTTGGGAGGATTCTATGGAGTTAAGGATGGAAATGTGGAGTATGTGAGAGGAATGCTTGCGGAATCGATGCTAAGGGGAGACTGGGTGTTGTTTAAAAGAATTGATAAGAATAACGGGCTGTATCAGTATTTGAGCACAGTGTTGAAGTACAGAAAATTGCTATGCAGCGATGGAACGGAGATATGCGCACACAACGAGTTTAGAGTGTTATTTACTTCTTATGACAAGATTTGCATTGATGAGGCAGTGTGTGTAGGGCCTGTACTGTTTGTGTTTGAAGATGCTATGAGGATGTTTGAGTCTGAATGTGTCCGACGGCTTCTTTGCAAAGCTTTTGAAGGCATAGGCACGAATACGAATGGCTGGAAGTGTGGTGTGGATAAGGGCATGGAATGCTTTGAAAGCTGCAGTAAGGTTGCATGCAAGAACGGAGGATGGTGTTTGAAGGAAGGATCAAATGTTTGCAAGATGCATTTTATATCGTTGATTAGGATGAGGAAGAGATTGAAGGATGTATGTGGAACCAGTATTGATGAGAGGGTTATGATGTATCAAACGATATGCAATGTGTTGCTAAAGCACGAGTCGAATTCTTTGCGCTGTGCACTTGTTTTGTCTGTGGTTCCTGATGTAGTGTTACATGGAAACGAGCTTGCAAAGACAAGGAGTGTGGAGTGGGGGCTTTTCAACATTGTTTGGAATGTGCGTAATAACGACCATACGCTGTTGATTGGAGACACTGGGGTTGGAAAGACATCGATGGTTGAGTATTTGAGCCAGAAGTCACGTTTTTTTGTTGGGATGCCGAGCAAGCTCAGGGTGGTGAACATGTCTGCGGATTTTGATGGGATGGAGCTGATTGGGGGGTATGGAACACTGAATGTGGAGCGGGCGATTGAGGAGATTGCTAAGGATGTTGGAAGAAATGCACCTTTAGAAGGCAGTAACAAAGACAAGCTGGAATTTTTGAGGAGATCTGAGCTAATGAAAGCTGATGCATCTGAGAAGATTATTGCAAGGATTGACAGTGTATTGAATGTAGTGGAGAAGAAGGTGTATTTTGTTTACAAAGAGGGATTGCTAACTGAGTGCATGATGAAGGGAGAATGGTTATTGCTAGACGAGATAAATCTTTGCTCTGAAGAGACGCTAGACCTGATAGATGGTGTTCTGGAGAAGAAGCGGATATTTTTGTACGAGAGCGGAGACTTGAAGTCATTTGAAATCCATCCTGACTTCATGCTGTTTGCATGCATGAATCCTGGAGGAGACTTTGGGAAGAAGCGGTATGAAGGGCAAGGATTCAATGTTGTTTATGTGCATGACTTTAGCACATCAGCAAGGGATGTGGAGCTGGTTGCACACTCTATACTGAAAGGAGTGGTTAATGAAGAAAGCAGGAGGAAGGTGTGTGAGTTTTTTTTGGAACTGAAGGATAAGGTTCGAAGGGGAGAGATTCGGAATGAGATTGAGCCATTGATAAGCGGAAGGACATTTGTAAGGGTGTTGCGGTTTATTAAAGGAAGAATGAATGGGGGCGTTGAGAGTACGATTTACGATGCATATGAGTTGTTTGTATTTACTCAGTTTGACTTTGTCAGTAGGATGATTGCGGTGACGATGTTTTCGAAGCACTTTGGTGAACGACGAGAGGAGGGCTGGAAAACGAAGGTGAAGGATGGGTTTGTTTTAACGCCAAGGATACAAATGTGTGTGCGGACGATGAAGCTGGGGATTGAATGTGGAGTTGCATTGCTATTGCAGGGAGATACGTCGACTGGAAAGACAAGCATGGTGATGCACCTGGCAAAGGAGATTGGAAGGAGGGTGATAAGGATCAACAATCATGAGCATACAGAAGCATCTGATTACATTGGAGGATATTCGTCTACGACAGAAGGAGTTAAGTTTAGGGACGGGGTTCTTGTACAGGCGATGCGAAGAGGAGATTGGGTGATTCTTGACGAATTGAATCTTGCGCCTAGTGAGGTTTTGGAGATATTGAACAGGCTTCTTGATGACAACAGGCAGATATATGTTCCGGAGACGGATGAGGTTGTTTATCCGCACAGGGATTTTCGGATATTTGCGACGCAGAATGTGGGGTATGGAGGCAGGAAAGGATTGAGCAAAGCATTTAGGAACAGATTTGTAGAGCTATTTTTTCGAGAAACGGGGGATGAAGAGGTGCTTGAGATTGTACATGGAGCATCGGGGCTTCCTATGAGCTTCTGCAGGAAGATGCTTGCGGTGTATAGTGGGCTGAAGACGAAGAGAAGCATCAATGTGCTGATAACGCTTAGAGAGCTGTTCAGATGGGCATGCAGGGGGCCTGGAAGTGCTGAGGATGTTTGTTTTTTGGGGATGAGCATGATACATGAGAGACAGAGAGGCGCTGAGGATAAGAGAAGAGTGCAAGAAATTTTTATTGAGAGCTTTGGAGTGAGAAGCGTGGAGAGGTATTTGAGGATGATTGATGGAGAAGTCGATGGAAACGACTCTGAAGGCGATTTTCTTGAGTGTGGAGTATGCAGTTTGAGGACTTTTTGTTTGATAGAGAAACGGTGTGAAAAAAGGTTTGTGCTTACGAAGTCGTTTAGGAGGCTTGTGAATCTTGTTGTTTTGGGATTGAAAAGCAAGGAGCCTGTGCTGATTGTTGGCGAGACAGGGATAGGAAAGACGAAGGTATGTGATATAGTGAGCGAGCTGTTTGGCAGGGATCTGCGAACGCTTAGTATGCATGGAGGAGTGGAAAGCTCCGACTTTCTTGGAAGCTTTGCGTTTGAGGAGTCGAAGATTGTATGGAGGGACGGGCCACTTGTGAAAGCAATGAAGAATGGAGATGTATTTTTGATTGATGAGATAAATCTTGCAGAGGATTCTGTTCTTGAGAGGTTGAATAGTTTGCTAGAACCACATCGAATGATATACATAGCAGAGACTGGGGAAGAGGTAGTTGCACACGAGAATTTCATGATGCTTGCAACGATGAATCCTGGAGGAGACTTTGGAAAGAGAGAGTTGAGTCCGGCGCTGAGGAATAGGTTTACGGAGATATACTTTGAGATTCAAAGAGACGAGGTGATTGATGTGTTTGATAGGATGATTGAGGTCAGGCTCGGAGAGGAGTCAGGGATGGGGATGCAAGAGATGGAAGAGTTCAAACGGTTGGGACGGAGAGTGGAAGTGTCAGTAAGGAAGCTTGAATTGATGATTGACTTTATATGTAGAAGATATGCTGGCAAGTCTGGATGTGTGATATGCAAGGGCGAATTTGATGCTGGAGAGGTATGGAATGAGGCGTTGGAGATTGTTGGGGAGAAGGCCATGGCGGAAGTGAAAGCGGAGTATGTGGAGCATTCGGGGATGTTTGGGGTGTACCCGTATTTTTTGCAGGATGTTTTGCCGAGTGTGTTTGATTTTGAATCGCCCACATCGGCGGTGAATCTGAAGAGGATTCTTAGAGCGATGAGTCTTGGAAGGGGAATTATGCTTGAAGGAGAACCTGGAATAGGAAAAACGAGCATTGTCCAGGCGATTGCAAGGAGGATGGGAAGAAGAAGCATCCGGATAAATCTTAGTGAGCATACGGAGCTGAGCGACTTAGTGGGAAGTTACATTCCGGTTGGCGGACAGATTAAGTTTGTTGAAAGCGAACTTCTTGAGGTGTTAAGGGAGGGAGGAGTTGTGATTTTTGATGAGATCAATTTGTGCACGCAGAGTGTGATAGAAGGGATGAACTCTGTGCTTGACTATCGACGAAAGCTGTTTATACCCGAGGTGGTTGTTGATGTGAATGAGAAGGCGTTTATTTTTGCAACGCTGAATCCTCATACGAGTAGGAATGGGCGTAAGGTGCTTCCAAAGAGTTTTCTGGACCGATTTATCAGGATTGGAATGGACATATATGGGCCAGGAGATGTTGAGCATATTATGCACAGGATGTATGCAAAGCCTGTGATAATGAAAGAGTTGAGTCTTAGGGAGAATATTAGGATGAACAAGATGGGGATTTTTGAAGAGAGAGAAGTGGAGTATGTGATGGATGAGAGGAGTATAAGAGTTGGATCTGTGACGGTTAATAGAAAGGATTGCAAGAATGCCGATGTAATGCTTGAGGGAAAAGGCGAAGTACTGAAAGCAAGCAGGGGATTTGTGATGATACATTCTCAGCTTGAACAGATTGAAAAGATTATGAAATGTGTTGAGATGAGCATTCCAGTAGTGCTATCTGGGGGAGTAGAGACAGATTCGTTGCTTTATTTTATATCGTGGATGTATGAGATAGATGTGGTGATGTTTAGTTGTCATAAGGATACTGATGTATGCGATCTTCTTGGGCAGTATCAGAAGAAGGAAGATGGGATGTTTGAGTGGAGCGATTCTGTGGTGGTTAAGGGGGTACGTGATGGGAAGATGGTTATTTTTTCTGGAGTTGAGCATGTGGACAAGTCTGTTTTTGATCGATTGAATTCGCTTTTTGAGTCTGAGCGAATGCTGAATGTGTATGAGAAGGGGATTGACACAGATGTGGCGGTGAGTGCATTGACAAAGCTTGTTATAGTGACCAAGGATGCAGAAGGGCTTTCGCCGGCGCTTCTTGATAGATGTATGCATGTGAAGCTGAGCAATGAGCTGGATTATATTGATGTGTGGAAGTTGTTTATGAGGTCGCAGGCGGGAGCGGGATTGGAGAAGATAATGTATAAGGACTTTGAAGGAGTTGGGATAGAGAAAGTGGAATGTGATGTAAGGCTTGACCTGCGACGGTTTTGGCTTCTAGGAAGATGGCCAAAGGTTCTGAGCAGGTGTATTCGCGGGATATTTAACACGATTGATGAGAATGAGATACAGGAGATGTTTAGGTATGAAGAGAAGCATATAGAAGAGAGACGAGTGGATATGCTTGGGATTGAGTTTTACAAGAAGATTGGATTTGAAGTTTGTAGGCCATGCAATGACGAAGAGAGGACGAATCTATTGAGAGAGATGAATGGAGAGCGAAGTGAAATGCGAAGGATGGTGATGTTTATCAAATCGGCTGATTTTTGTGTTTTGAAGAGACTGCGACGAGGAGAGGGATGCAGCTTGAATTTTGCCAGATGCGTGAGTGATTTGAAGATGAAGATAATCGGCACGCTTGGGAGTAGGAAGTTTAGTGACTATGAGCGGATGAAGAAGATTTCGAAGTGTCTTTCTGGTGTTCAAGAGGTTGGAATTGGAGGAGTTGAATTTGATGACTTTTTCATGGAGCTAATTGAAGAGGGGAGAGACGATCCGCTACGAATGTTAAGGAACGAGCTTGTCTGCAATATGAATGCATTTGAGAACCGAAGTATGAAGGAGATTCATGACATGGCGATGTGTATGTATAAGTATGGTAGAGGAAGTGTTGGTGAGCTGATCAGGAGATATGAGGAGGGTGTTGTGGAATACAAGATGAAGATTGAAGCGATTGAATGCCGAATGAAAAGGGACTATGCTAGGTTTACAAAAGAAGTGAGAATGATTGACTTTTGTTCGTATATGTGTGGAGACAGGAAATACTATGATGAGTTTGCGGATGTTTTTGATTACTATTTGGTACATCTGTTTGGAAGATGGATTGAGGGAGATGGATGTTCTGGGATGTGCAAGATGAGGAGATGCAATGAAGAAGTGGATGGCAGTGGATATGAAAATGAAGAGAGTGTCATGTACAGTACGCTATGCCTGAACCTGCTTGAGAGTGGGCCTAAGATTATTGATTGTCTCAGATTTATTGATTGTAAGCAGTTAAAGGATGAGTTTTCGAGATACTTGTACGGTTTGTATTATGGGAGGCCTGTAAGCCGAAAAGACCTAGTTTTTGAAAGCATTGTGTTTGATGTGCCAGTGAGTGTTTGCAAGAAGGACTGGATTGATTTTGGACTGAAGTTTAGTGAGGAGGATCTGAATGAATGCTTGAGGGGGATGTTTGATGTTGAGATGCGTGCAAGGGTTATAGAAGAGTTCAGGGGAAGAGTTGTGGTTCATGAGAGCTTGGTGAAGATGATGAGTAAGGATATGCTAGACATGGGGATTTTTACAAAGATTGAAGACATTATGGAGCATGTAGAAAATAAGGTTGAACTGAGAAAGAAGTGCCTGGTCAGTAAGGACAAGCTTGGTGTGTGCACTGCTAGCGATGATGAGTATAGTGAGAATTTGATTATTATTGGAGCTGAGCAAGATGAGTGTAATGCAGAAGAAGAGCAGGATGAGTTGGTGCATAGAAGGCTTGAAATGCTTTACAAGGATTTAGGTGTGTGCGAGGTTGAGAGGAACTACAGGTACTTCTTGTATTTGGTTACGACTTCTTTTACTCTTGAAGAGTTTGAGAGGTATTTTTTTGATTGCTGTGTGTATGAGCATGTCGAGAGGATTAGGCATGCACGAGAATTTGCAATTAAAAGCAAGAGCCCGATGGTATACAATGCGACGTTAAAGTATGTAGGATTTGAGATTGAAAAGATGTATGATGCAAGAATCAGAAGCGCAAAGAGCAAGCTCCGAAAGGATCCTGGACTGTATAAGAAAACCCTGGCCGAGTTAAGAAGGTTTCTTGTTTTACCTGTTACGAATGTATTGAAGCTTGAGTTTAAGGAGCCTGATCCTGTGTGCCAGGAACATCATCCTGGTAGGCAGGCGTTTATTTTGAAGGATAGAGGAGAGTGTGAATGCAAAGACTGGATAGAGCTATCGAAAAAGTTTGATAGAAGAGAGATTGCAAGAGGAGTTGCAGGAATAGTGGCTAAGAAGAATGAGGTGATTGAGATGTTTTTTGGAAGGATGCCTACAGACATGTTTTCGTATTCGGAAGTATGCCTAGGAAAGGTGATTAGCCAAATGGTTGACGATGCGAGTGTTTTGAGTTTGATGCGGATGGGGATAGAGCATCCATATGTACCTTTTTTGTACTTTGTGTTTAATTTCTGCCGTGATGCGAGTGAGGTTGAGGAAGTAGGAGAAGGGATGGAAGCGGGGCAAGGCAATGTGAATGTCAGCGAGCAGGTGAAGCATGAAGATGAGATTGAGGATGACTATGGAGATCAGGAGATGGTGAGTGAGAGCGATGGGATTGATTTTGACAATGATGGGAATGCATCTACGGTGAGCGATGTTTCCGAAGAGTGTGACAGTGGGGTAGATGGAAGCAATGAGGATGAGAAAGATGAAGAGGAAGAGGAAGAAAATGAGAGCGATAATACTGAGGAAGAGGAAGTGGATAATAAAATGGAGATAGAAGAGGAGGGATATGGAAGCGAAGGGTCTGAAGATGAAGGAATCGAGATGCCATGCGAGTCATTATTGGAGGAAGATATAAGTGAGAATAATAATGAAAGTGAAAGCAGTGATATAGAGAATGATGAGGAAGAGGAAGAAGAGCAAGAATGTGGTGAGGATGATGAGGAGAATGAGGATGATGAGAAGAATGTTAAGATGAATGAGTATAGATATGAAGAGTCGAAAGTAAATAGTAACCAGACATGTGATAAGGCAGAGAATTATGAGCGATATGTGTATGGAGGCAATCGAAATGATAAGGCACTGTGTGAAGGAGAAGGACAGGAGAAGATATGCGGAGATTCTGAATCAGGAGAGGGAGAAGCGGTGGAAGCAACAGTAAGAATAATGATGAAGGATGAGGATTGCAGCAGATTAACGAATATGCTGAAGATGGTCATTGAAGCAAACAAGAGCAATAAGTATAAAGGAGATTTCAAAAGTGGAAAGAAGTTGAATATGAAGAGGCTGGTTCCTTATATTGCAAGTGGGTTTAGAAGAGATAGAATATGGATGAAGAGGCAAAAGAGTGAGAAGAGGGAGTATGTGCTTCGCTTGTTTGTTGACAATAGCAAAAGCATGTATAACCAAGAAATGGTTGATATGCTTCTGAGTTTGTATTCGAAGATAAGTAAATCGTTCTCTATTCTTGGTATTCCTGTTGAGGTATACAAGTTTGGAAATAGCCTGGAGAGATGTGAGGTGAAGAACATGAAGTTTAATGAATCTCAGACAAGGATTGAATGGATTGAAGAGTTTGGAGATGGAATCAATGTGATCCTTACGGATGGATTGTTCCAGAATGTTGGGAAGCATCGCCCGAACTTTTTAGTTCTATTAATAGACAAGTGCAATGTGAGAAAGATGTCGAAGGTAATGGTTTCTGAAGGATCAGTATTTGTCCAGAAGTATTTAGATGTGTTTCCACTGAAGTATTGTGTTATTGGGAGAATTGAAGAACTCGAGTCGACATTTGTGATGGCACTTGGCGAGATGCTCAATCTATTACAATAAGTTATATATAGCACTAGGTTTCGGATTGTGACTTTAATAAACCGATATTGTTACTATAGCGATAAAATTTGTGTTGCAAAGCGAAATAGTTTTATTCAGATTATGCCTATGTTAGATGCGACCTCGAGTGCAAGGCCATCCTCAGCAAACCTGACATATGCCTTCTTACCATGCTTGTTTATGAGTGTG